CACAGGTTGTGCACTTAAGGATGTTGATTAATAAACAGTAGATTGATCATTTTAGATATACAACACCAACACTAACTTATTTGCTGGTAAATGTTATTTTTTCTCTATTGTTGATTTCATTTTGTTATATTTATATCTTTCAAGAATATTTTCGCTATTTTAATTGACAGTTTACAGTGCATGCAATTAATTTCGTGAAATACTTTCAAGAATTAAAAGCTGAAATTTGAGCCATACTTACAACCAAAATTATTTTGATCTGCGAGCTGTTCATGTAGTTTATGATATTTTTCAGATATTTATGATTTTTCCAAATTTAATTTTTGCATGACAGGGTATTTTGCGCAGGTTCGCTTTACCTGAAAAACATTTTTGATGGAATTTCACTGGGCAATGTTTTCCACCGATGAAATTCACGAAATAAAGTTTTCGCAATATTAAGCTTAAGTTTATTGCATTTCATGTTAAAAGTAATTAATTGTACTTTATAGTGGAGCACTGTTTGAGTGGAAGATTTATAAAAAGTTGAAATATTTAAAGTATTTATGAACTTCAGCAGCATTAACAAATAAGTTTAGTTCGTTAATTTGCTTATTGTGCATTTTAGGGTTTTGCCATATCGTGGCTGACCAGTTTTTCTTGGTGTTATGTTTTTGTTTCTCTTTATGCTGTAACTCTCTTCCCACACTTTAGATTAATGGAAATGCGTTTATTTATTAATGGGTTATGATTAATATGTTTTACAGGTAATCAAACAAGGTGCATCGATTCTCTCACTATATCTGGTGGAACTTCTAAACAATTTTGTACTAACACGACGTCCATGACATTTTCACCTTACACAAGTGTTGTAGTTTTGACTTTTAACGCTTATGTAAATCGACTCCACGAAGGCTTTACTCTTAATTTTGAAGGAAGGAAAAGTATGTAGTTAGTTTGCATTTTTTAGGTATAATAAAATTGAAACTCTACTTTAGCATTCCAAATTGAATATTCTGTATTTTGTAATTATTTATTATCCTTTCTGATTACCTTCAGGTAAAAATTTGCCACCATCCTTCAGTGTTTGTTCCAATAAGACAATTTCAAATACAGTTGGTCGTATTTTCTCACCTGGCTTTCCTTTTGGCTACACATCGAACATAAGATGTAGTGTCTCAGTTACAATTCCAACGGGCAAGTGGTTGGAAATTGTGATTAACTTCATCGACGTAATAGGAAGTGAGTTAGTTTATTCAAGAATACTTGCTATGTTTAATGTATATTTGACTTAAAGTTGTGTATCCTTGTCTATATTATCAAAGTTTTGTGTTTATCAATTTCTTGTAGTTAATATAGTGATTTTTTTATACATTGAGTGCACAATAATAGTTTTGTGGAAAAGAGCGCCCTTGCAAAGCATCCCTTACATTTATACTCTTAAATATGTTGGTATTTCTCACTTATTTATAAGATTAAAAAAATAAATGTTACAGACTTTAAGCTTGTCGTGATAAAAATGCAGTTGGAAAAAAACATTTACTGATACAATCTCTGTATGCTTGCTGAACTAAGTTAGTAGCAAATGTAAGAATATTCCACTAATTTTTAACTACATGTTTATAATTAGATTCATACAGGTGTTATTATGATGAGTTGTTGCTCACTGATGAGACAACTTCTAATTCTACATGTGGAAAGTCCATTGTAAATAGTCGTCCACTTTTCTTTGTCAACGAGAGAGTTAATGTCAGTTTTCGTTCCTCTTATTGGAGCAGTGGCGGATCAGGATTTATGCTGACATTTAGGGTAGTTAATATATCAGGTAATTTTTTTCCCGGTTATATCATCTTTGCTGTAACAAAAACTGCCAGTCTCAATTCACACAATGTCATGTTATAACGAAACGTTCCCATTTATGTGCAATTAGGATTTCTAAGATCGTTTGCATCACACGCGTATATATGATAATAACCCAACCATAAATTGCGAACTGTGTACTCCAATATGTACAGGAAAACACGGAAATCGTAGAATGTTTTATCATCGGTGCATATTTAAAGTTCTGAATGCATAGAAATTCTGTGCATTTATTATCTAACTAGTGATAATTTTGTTGATTTTAAAAATATTTGGTTCATCATTTCATTTTACGGTCATTTCAGAAAAGCAATCAACAAAAGTATTCTCCATTAAACCTTCTAAATGCAAGACCAACATTTATGATAGTGTTGTCCTATCTGCTTTTGATTTAGATAGCAATTTTTACATAACATTGGTAGTTCGTATTCTATATGTGTGAGTAAGCTTCCCAATCATGAAGTAGTATACCATATGAAAAGTAGTCAAAGCTCATAGACAATATAGCTACTATTATTATGACCAAATTAAAATGATGGTATTTTAGTATTAAAGCGTTGAGTACCAAATAAGAATTCGTCAATTTAACAAAAAATCATTAGATGCAACCAACACGCTTGGTTAATTTGCGCTGATCTTGACATTTGCTATACATTACAAATTATTAATTAGTTACTCTAACAATTTATAGTTCGTTATTTAAATTTATTCAATTGAAATAACCATTTAATGTTTGCAACCATTTTTTGGTTATTTTAATCAATCAGTTTTTACAGTGTTCAATTAGTGTGTTGTATAGCAACTCTAGTTAGCTACAAAGTGTGTACGAATGGTAAGTTTGGAAAAAATTTTAAATTAAAATATAGCAGCTGTATTTTTGAGCAAGTTAAAAGAATTTTTATTTGATTTCTCATGATAATGAAATGGAATTACAATATATTTATTCATGAAATTTTTTTTTAAGATACAGATTGCACAGGGAAAACCGTTTAACCAAACCTATTTTTGTTTTTTTTTTAAATCAGGCGATTGTAGTTTTGAATACGGTATTAGTAACTCGAATTGTTTCTGGAGTAATGTTGTATATCCGTGGGATAACTATGATTGGATTGTCCATTCTGGCTCCACACCTAATTATGGTACTGGACCAAGTTTTGACAGAAAAGGATCAACGACAGGTTGGTCTTATAAATGCTATTTGCAATATAATAAAAAATTTTTTACTTAATGCTATAAATTCGTCAATTGTGTTGTCGATAAAACAGGAAAGTACCTTTACATGAGAGGATATTATTCGATGGGATCCAAAAGTTGGCTAGTTAGCAACTACTTTAATTCATCAACGAAGTGTTTTACTTTCTGGTATCATATGTATGGATCAACTGTTGGTTCACTAAATATTTACGAGCAATCCATGGGAATGGAAATGAGACCTTTATGGACATTAAGTGGCAATAAAGGAAATATCTGGATGAGGGGCCAAGTGACAGCCAATTTCAGTTTTGAAATGAAAACCAGGGTAAATATCACATTTACAATTCAATAGCTTTACATAAATAAAGTTTATTTATTTGATCCTTCTAAGCTGCTTTTGGTGAAAAGATTAAAAGTTTTCAAAAGATAGGATATTTCTGTTTCTATTGCTATCAACCAAATGCTTCATATATATTGCTGCTCTTTCAAAATAAAAACTGCATGTTCAAAAAGAGAAAAAACTGAAAGAAAAAAATGTTATTGTAAGCTTTTGAATTACAATGATTCAAATAAAAAGAATGAACAATGACTTCCCGCCGAAGGTCCTAGCCTTTTTAATGAGATGTCTAAACTCTGTCGAGACTTTTTTTATTGATAAAAAATAAATTAAAATAATCTCGAAATTCTTTTTGTAGTATTTTCATAAAATTGAAATTACGTAGCTAATATGATTACTCGAACTCTGGAATGGCATGAGTAGAGGTTTCGCATTGAGCAGATCCTGAATGCATTGCACTTTTACAATATGGCAACTACAAGACGTAACAAAATGTAATTCTTTGACGGTACAAACAGTGAATCTAACGTTTCACTAACAATAAGAGAGGATCAAAATATACAGGCAAGGAAGACAAAGCTACGTTGCAACATTATGCTTGTTATACACTTCTAAATGCGTATATGAAAAAACTGACATCGGTATTTAGACATAAAACACTTTAGATTGTTGCTCGGGTTAAGAAAACCAAAAAAATCACTCGTCTTTTGTCCCCTTTTTGCGACATTTGCTTATGTTTAGATTAGGTAACCTATAACGGAAATTGTGTCATCACCAGAGTACATATGTACGTCCAAACCGACGTCTTGTTGTTTTTAGATCATTGTTGAAGGTGTAAACGGATGGACTAGCTCCAGTGACATCGCTCTCGACGACTTTCAATTCATAGACGGACCATGTGATATACTTCCACTAAGTGCAAAACCTCCAAGTGAGATATTATTTTCTTTGTTTAATTCAAACAAAAAATATTGAAATAAATAGGTAAATCCTCTGATCAATTTAAGTTTACAAAAATAACTTTATTTTAATGATTCAAACACAAATAAGTTCTTCATCGCTGCAAATGTTCTAAGAATATACTTTTATGACAATCTCACAGCAAGCGGATGATGCATGTGATTAACAACAACGTTTGGTTGTGTTAGAACAAATTTTCGATATGTTTTTTACAAACCTTAATCAAAACACAAGTCCTTGTAAAAAAAGCAGCATGTAGTTATACAAGATGACTTCCCACAGAAAATATGCATTAAAAATAGAAGCACAATGCAAATACTTGTGGACAAAATGTAATAAACATCTCTAAAACAATTGTATCAAAGTGCTTATGTAACCTGTTTGTGTCAATTTGTATAGAGAAATTTATAATAAGTATAGATGATCTCTTCCTGTGTTGAAAATTCGATTTATTTTCTTGAAACTATACATCTTTAAGTTCAGGCGAGAGTTTGGATATTAAAAGAATTGAATAAGTAGTGTTGTAGAAATGAAGTAGAAAATAACTGTGCATTTTATGAAATTGAGAAATTTCTTGCCTTTACTATTATTGAAAAATAGACAACAGTAATAAAAAACAGATTAGAATATGAACAAGTTTTCACTAACACTACATGTTTTATTTCTACAGGCTTTGGCATCCCTATAAACATTTGTCCATCACGAACTATTACGCTTTCTAAAGGACATATTGTGTCACCAAATTACTATCCACGTTACTATCTCTACGCAAGATGTACACTGACGATTAAACAACCCCTTAATACAATCTTCAACTTCAGTTTTTCTAATATCTCTCTTGACTCTTATTTAATCGGTGAGTACTTAAATGTAGTTTTTTTGATATCGTATAATTCTTCTCATGTGTGTTGATGCCCGTTTTTATGCAGTATTTTTCATATTTTTTTAGACACAGATGTAATTTTAAAAAGTTTTATCAAACAATGTCAAGACCTGTGTGCATGTGATATCAACGCATTTATACATGATAATATTCTGTCAACTTTATACAAAATTTCTTTCGTTTATTTCATCATAACTCGAAAGTAATTTTTAAGTCAATTCTATTTAAATGAAAGTATTAAGTCAGCCAGTTTTTAAAACAAATCAAGCGAAGATAGAGAATATGTTTAAAGTTGGATAGGAAATGAAATACATGTACAAAAAGTTCATTTTAGTCAATATCAAGGAGATGAACATTGCAAGACATTAGAATTTTTAAGAAGAATTAAATATGTTCATATTTTGTTAATTATTATGTTTGCCAGCATATTGATCTATACAATAGTATAAAAGTTTCACCACACATTTCAAAATTTTGATGTGAATAATTTTATTGCTTTAATGTTATTTTCTTCTTCATAGTATGATTTTTAATTCCAAAACTGACGTTATTGATTTATAATTACTTTAATAATCCTTCAACAATTTATATGCAGGTAATAAAACAAGATGCGCAGATTCTCTCACTATATCTGGTGGAACTTCAAGACAATTTTGTACCAATACGACGTCCATGACATTTTTACCTCAAACCAGTGTTGCGGTTTTGACGTTCAGCGCTTATTTGAACAGACGGTTTGAAGGTTTTGCTCTTGACTTCGATACTATCAGGAGTAAGTGCTCTAATTATTGTTTGAATACGAGTTTTAAATTTTTGAATGCTCATAAACTAAGTTAAAGTAATAAAATTTCATTTTTAAAGATGTCTTTTTAAAAGTTGATCTTAAAGACTACATGTTCAGGAATGCACGCGTGTTTGTTTTTAATCTGTTTTTTATTGATTTAAGTATACTAATGATGGGCGGCTAAGGACCAATTTTGAGCAAAATCGTTCACTAGTGGGAAAGATAGATGAAAAATCGTTTGTTTCGTAAAGAAAGCAGGAAGTTTGGCAGAGAGGGCTTTATTGTAAACTTTTAACATTAAGATATGGAACCATCACAAAATCTCAATATTAGAGAAATTTTACGGGTGTTTTGCATAAAAGCGAGGGAAAACAAGAAAATAGTATTAAGACCCATAGTTTTGTATTAAACCTGAGTCAATTAACTTTTAAATGTTTCATTTCGTCATAACAGCTGTGTCAAACAAACACGTGAAGGTTTTTAATGAATAAGTCTGGTTAAATTTTAGGTGGGTAGTAGGTAAGAATTTCCAAGCAATTTCTCAATATGGAATAAATAAGCAATATTATTAATATTTTCTTTTGATTCTTGTACATGGAATAGCAGTTTTCCCCTTTGATAACTAGCATATAATTATGTATTACAATTCAAAGTCAGTCAAACCTGTATCTAATAAAATAGTGTTTGCACCAAAAACGAGGCTAGACAACCAACTTTTAATACATGCGGTCAATCTACATTTTTTCCCATTTTCACGTAAAACTATTTACAATAAAAACATTAAGAGAGTGGAAGAGAAACTGGGGGACACAGGAATGCCAACCTCAAAATTTTTCGGAAAAAAGTGCCTTTTTGTTGAAGGTAATTCTCTTTTAATTTCTAAGTTGCGTTTAAATTTTTAAAGCAGTAAGATACTTCCTTTTTCGCATCTCATCTGCTAGTTTTGTAAATTCTTTTATAATGAAAAGGCCCTTTTTATATTCCTTGTTACAATTGTTGAAGGTCATCGTATAAGAATTGAACTACAAAATATTGTTTGATACTTATTATTACGTTATGTAAGTAATATCGATGAGAGAAATTTTGTATTTTTGGGAAAGTTAAAATCAATGAAAAAACGTTCATTATACATTGCACTTGTTGGAAATCGGAATATGAATATCCTTGTACTTTCTTGACTATGAATTTGTATTGTTGAAAGGCAAGGTTTGCTTTGATCATCTATAGGTAATATATAAAAGTATGTAAATAGTGGACACTTATAACTTACATATAGATATAATTACTATCATTTTATCGAAACATTATTAAAGTACTGCAAAATGTCAAATGTAGAAATAATAAAGACTTGCAATTAGGGCAGCATGTTTTGGAAGATTATTTTTGGATAGGTTTTGGGTTTGTCAGACGGAATGGTGAGGTCATGCATTTTGATTCGTGTTTTTAACACAGTGTTTTCTGTAGCTGCAATTAAGATGGTAAATTGATTGATTGATTAATTTGATTGATTAAACTTTATTAAAAGAGGGTAACACGTGACACAACAAGTGTGAAAAACTTGTGGCCCTCAAGTAAAGTAAATGGTTTGAAGCCGGGAGTATCGTTACTTGTTTGTAAAGGTAGATCATCCAGATAAGAAATACGGCTAACCTGACATTTACTCCTCATTTGACTCTAAACATGACTACCGCCAAGGTTGTCGAAACGCCAGTCAACAAAAACAAGAACAGTCCTTCTCAGAACTATACTAACCTTAGACGATCTACACTTACAAACATGTAGTTAAGATGATGTTATCGATTTGCCAAAATTGTGTATAAATTATGGCAATTAACTAGCAGATTGTAGAGGTGTATTTTTATTTGTGAGTATACATATTTGACAATTTTTAGGTGATAACCAACCTCCTGCCTTCAGTGTCTGTTCTAACAAGACAATATCCAGTAACGTTGGTCGTATTTACTCACCTGGGTTCCCCTTTGGCTACAACTCTAGCTTAAGATGTAGTGTTACTGTGATGATTCCTCAGGACAAATCCTTAGAAATTGTAGTCAACTATATGGACATATATAGGAGTGAGTTAAATTTAAAAAAATTCTTTTTATGAACGTGTCTAGCTTACATAATCTTCGCAATTATTTATTGAATACGATCTTTTTGACTTTCTTTAAAGCTTCAATTGCAAATTCCTAGCTCTCAAGTTGAAATGTTCTACACTTTATTAGATTATTATTCTGGGTGCATTTATGACGAGTTGGTCATATCAGATGGATCAACTTCTAATTCTACGTGTGGAAAGTCAATTGTGAATAGTCGCCCAATTTTCTTTACCAAAGAAAATATTAATGTCAGTTTTCGTTCCGCTCCCTGGAGTAATAGTTTATCCGGTTTTCTACTGACATACAAAATTATTGATGGAGTGGGTATGTATACGTAAATTTTCACAAACGCCTTTTGGAAATCAGCATTTTGTGACATTGCAACATGCATATTATTTACTGTATTGCTGACTGCTCTTAATTTTAGATATTCATTGTACATTTGAAAACAACTGGTGCAATTTTACAAAGATTGGGGATTGGAAGCGAGTCATGGGATCAAACTTGGGCAACTGGTCGATAGAGGATCATACAATTGGCAACAGTTATGGTAAGTATGCTGTATTGTATTGCAATGTTAATTATTATAACGCAAAGAAAATACATTCGACTCTACACATGATTAAACTGGTTACATTTCTGCGATATTTAAGTTGCTTTCAAAATTGATTTGAGTTAGATATTTTATCTTGAAAATAGATTTCGTCATAATGTAGTCTGTAACCAATAACGAGAAACAAAAAATATTGTCATTTAAGTTGGGTTGGTGTTCTGGTTTTAAACAATTCTGTTAAGAACCTTTATTGTATTATTTTGACCATTCACTAACATTTTCTATTTTTACAACAATTTTTACATTTGTCACCTCGACAAAGTGTCTATTATAATAATTAGTTATCCATTAATATCTTAAATTTTCACTCAGGTCATTTTGTGATCTTGGAAACATCTATCTTGGAAAATGTAAAATATGGAATCATTAAAAGAAACCTTACTGCAAACGGAAAATTAGCATGTTTGAATTTTTGGTATCAAAGCTACGGATATACATCAAATGTTTTAAAGGTTTTTGTACTAGTTAATGGACGAAAGCTTCTGTTATGGAAAAGCACGTTGGGTACAACAACTTCTTGGGAAAAAGGAAGGACGACAATTTATTTAAACTATAATCGTTTCTCTGTAAGTCACACATATATTGTAGAAGTTTTCATTAATTTAATAAATAGTGCATCAAAGTAAACAAATATATTGAATGTGATTCTCTTGAATCATTTTACAGATAATTTTTGAAGCTATGGTAAATTCATATCCTGGTTATATTTCCTTGGATGATATTCTTGTTGATATTGGTGAATGCAACAGTCCTGGTGAGCTCAATTTATCATTACAATTTTGTGAAATTTACATGCCAAATTTAAGAGCTTCAATAGCTAGATGGATACTTTAGTAGCTACATTGTGTTGATAGTATTAAATAAATATGGAGTAAACATAACTGTTCAATTTTCTTAAGATAAAAATCAAACTCGTGGACGTAAAAAACGACCAAAAATTGACAGTATGCTCCGAGACTTGAGTTTTCGTTAAACAAAGCAACGTGCATTTCCCGTTCCTTTTTATCATTATTTAAGAACAGTGCTCGTTTTAAAAAATATAAGCAAATAGCATCAAGGAATCTGTAAGAAAACATTTGCCTTTTACTTTACGTGTCAAAACATTTTCAAAGGCAACAATACGAAATGCCTTAGGAGCATGGCATAGCCTTACTTAGATATTTTGCAGTTTGTGTTACCATTTTTTAAATAGCATTCCTTGTTTTTTAATAATTTAAATGTTTTTTTAGAAGATAGATGACACCAGTGTTTGATACACTAGTGAAACAAAAATGACATGGGCAGTAACCAAAAATGAATGTTATGTCATTAATACATTTTGGCAAAAACTTGATATTCTGTTGTGTTTTGTTACCAAATATTTTGCATCCCCCCAACCCATATGATTATAATAATACTGCTATTTTGTAATGGTCAATCATAAAAAAAGCAAAGCCTTGCGCACTCATCGAGTGCATATTTTTCTATACATAATATTCTATACATCACAAATTTAAATTTAGAAAGTTCTTTTTGCAAAACATAACATTTTACATGCCACCATAAAGAAGTTTTTGTTCAAAACAGGTGACTGTAGCTTTGAAAATGGAATAAGCAACTCAAAATGTCTGTGGAGAAATGTTGGTTTTCCGCTTGATAATTATAACTGGATTGTCCATTCTGGTTCCACATCATACTACGGCACTGGTCCTAGTTTTGACAGAAAAGGATCCACTACAGGTGTGTGCTGTCATTAAATCAATTTTTTCCTTTCCTAAATATTATCTTTCTATATTGTATTGCATGGTTTGTATTTTTTTGAACATTAAAAATTTATAATGTCGTGGAGATAGTCTTTGTTTGACAAAAATCTTTACAGAATATTAGCCAAATAGAGTAATATAGAAGAAAGAGAAATTAAACTTGCTTGATACATAGTTCACATTTGACACAATCTTATTGAATGTACATTTTACGTCTAAACAGGAAAATACATTTATATGAGGGGAAACTACGGAAGTATAGGTTCTAAAAGCTGGCTGGTTAGCAACTACTTTAATACATCAAGAAAATGTTTCACATTTTGGTATTATATGTATGGATCAACTGTTGGTTCCCTCAATATATACGAACAAACTATGGGAAAAGAAATGAAGCCTTTGTGGACTGTAACTGGTAACAGAGGAAATTTTTGGCTCCAAGGTCAATTAACAATCAACTTTACCATTGGATCAAAAATTAGGGTAAGAATTGCATAAAAAATTAAAAGTATTAAGATATTAGTGTTTATTGCAGTAGGAAATACAGCAAAAAATCCATGCATCTTTATAAAAATGCTATTATAAAATTTTAAAGAATACATTTTTTTATCGATTAGCTATTAAAAACTATTTTCTACTACACTAAAATATCCACTCTTTTTTTAAGGAGGGTGGGGTCCACATAGCTGTTTTAAGAAAATTTATTGTTCGTATGATGACGATGCTTAGTTTTTGAGATATTGCGTTCTTCATTGCTGCAAGGGGGGAGTGACATTTACATCTATATGTACTGAAATGCAATATGCTGAGCCCTAGTAGGTTTAATGTGGTAAATTTACCATCTTTAGATAATTGTTGAAGGAGTTCGAGGATGGAGTAGTTCCAGTGACATTGCTCTTGATGATTTCAAATTTTTGGATGGAGCTTGTGATATACTTCCGCTAACTGCCAAACCTCCACGTGAGTGATGTAAACATTTTATAACGCAATATTTAAAGTGCAACTCCCGTGAAATTTAACCCTCTCTTTTTTCCACCAAATACAAAGTACGCATTAAAATAAACTTTTTGGTATTTACTTCTGTTAAGTATAACATAGCTAAACATTGGCACCGGATGCGAATTTTTACAAATGAGGCGTGACGTCATAAGATGTGCACGCCTCTCTAGTGTATTATTGGCTTTATATACAAATTGCAAGACCGACGATCTTTTTTATCAAACCCTGAGCCAGAAAATAGAATGCAATCCAGGAAATAAGGACAGCAATGAGAACAAGTACTCGAAGGGCTTCAGGATTGTAAATAAACCCTCAAAAAATGAAAAATCAGCCATAGAATTTAAAAACATCAATCAGATGTAAAGTGGAACATCACCTTGTTAATCTAACAACTTTGTCGGAGAAATCCTGAACCACAATCCAAATCCAAGTTCTATATATTGCACTAGAATACTTGCTCAGCATTTGCAATAAATAGTTAAATATGTAATAAAATAAATATCCCAAAGACTGCAAAATGATATTTTGAGTCAAGATTTCCAATGGCATACATATACCCAGGTTGGAGAACTTAGGAGGTATAATCGACTGCCCAAGTTGAATCTCCAATCTTGTGGGTGGAAGGTGTCTCACATAGACAACAGAAATTTTCAAAAAAGCAAAAATTAACCATACAATTTGAAAGCATGTTTAAGCAGAAAAATGAACAACAATATGATGGAAAACGGAAATGTCACCTTTACAATCTAACAGCCACAGTTAGAGAAGTACAGCAATCACAATTCAAACTCTATATAAGTCTTAGGTATACAACCCCCCAAAATAAAAAGTTAACCATAAAATTTGAACACGAGTTTTTAGAACAGATACAAAAAATCTCAAAAGTCTCTACCAGGGACTCATTGTACACAGCAATTTCTTCCTCAACACTATATAAAAAATGATGATTTCCATTTGATGAACAATTATACTTGACAATTGTGAATTTTACATGATAAAATTTGTCAGGATATTATCATCCAATTAAATCATCATCTTGACTTGATTCTTCAAAAGAAGAGTTGTCCTTGATGAAGGTTTATCTAAATCATCTTCATCCTCTCTACCATACAATCACCTACAAATTCTTTGTCCATTTTACGTACAGATGGAACATCCAAAAGCGCCTTCTGCTGTGCCTATAGCTTTTGAATTTGCTTCTGCAATGTTTCCCTGGTTTTCTTCAGTTGGCTGACAGTTTTTTTGGAGAAAGCTGATTTTTTTTGAAATAGCTGCATGATGTACAATTGGCAGACCAGCTTTTTCTTGTTCTTTTTTGCTTTGGCTTTATAATTTTCTAAAATCATAGTCTTCAAATTTTCACAATCGAACAAGTCTGTAGCAGTCATATCTGCCTTTGCTTTTTGCCCTTGTTCGTCAATTTTTCTAGGAGTACAGGACGATTTTATAGATGACGAAAACTTGCGAATCCACTGATAAATATAAATACATTAAAATGTGAGCAAGGGAACGTGTACATTCCATACCATACACAATTAATATGTTACTTTGTGTCTGTCTTGGTTTGCTATTCGCTATCTATTGCTCACTCGTAGGAACAATTCCCTGCATGTCCACAGCAAAAGCAGCATTGCTTCTGTCTTCTTTTCATATACTCTATATGAAATCTGCTTACATCAAAGAAAGAATCTTCAAATGTGACGAGCAGAGCAACGAATTTAAAGTAGGCAACCATTGCGGTCTATATTTGCGAACAAAATTAATCCATTTTCTCTGTCTTTGAGAATCTGTTTCCTCGTAAGAAACTTATGCATAGAAATTCCTTCTGTATCATTGGAGCAACTAATTAACTTAGGACCATCAGCAACACATTATTTACCTCCACGAACACGTTTTTCGCTATTAAAATATACACCATGTGTATCTTATGTCGTAACAAGGCTCATGTGAAAAATTCGCCTAGTAAGTGCAAAAAATCGCAAATTTGAAGAGCCGTAGAATCGATTTGAAAAAGTTAAATGAAATCTTTAAGTTCAGGCGAGAGTTTAGATATTGTTAAATTGAATAAGTAGTGTTGTAGAAATGAAGTAGAAAATAACTATGCATTTTATGAAATTGAGAAATTTCTTGGCTTTTTTATTATTGAAAAATAGGCAACAGAAATAATCAGGCTAAAAAACATTAGAGTATGAACAAGTTTTCACTAACACTACATGTTTTATTTCTACAGGCTTTGGCATCCCTATAAACATTTGTCCATCACGAACTATTACGCTTTCTAAAGGACATATTGTGTCACCAAATTACTATCCACGTTACTATCTCTACGCAAGATGTACACTGACGATTAAACAACCCCTTAATACAATCTTCAACTTCAGTTTTTCTAATATCTCTCTTGACTCTTATTTAATCGGTGAGTACTTAAATGTAGTTTTTTTGATATCGTATAATTCTTCTCATGTGTGTTGATGCCCGTTTTTATGCAATATTTTTCATATTTTTTTAGACACAGATGTAATTTTAAAAAGTTTTATCAAACAATGTCAAGACCTGTGTGCATGTGATATCAACGCATTTATACATGATAATATTCTGTCAACTTTATACAAAATTTCTTTCGTTTATTTCATCATAACTCGAAAGTAATTTTAAGTCAATTCTATTTAAATGAAAGTATTAAGTCAGCCAGTTTTAAAAAAATCAAGCGAAGGTAGAGAATATGTTTAAAGTTGGATAGGAAATGCAATACATGTAAAGAAGTTCATTTTAGTCAATATCAAGGAGATGAACATTGCAAGACATTAGAATTTTTAAGAAGAATTAAATATGTTCATATTTTGTTAATTATTATGTTTGCCAGCATATTGATCTATACAATAGTATAAAAGTTTCACCACACATTTCAAAATTTTGATGTGAATAATTTTATTGCTTTAATGTTATTTTCTTCTTCATAGTATGATTTTTAATTCCAAAACTGACGTTATTGATTTATAATTACTTTAATAATCCTTCAACAATTTATATGCAGGTAATAAAACAAGATGCGCAGATTCTCTCACTATATCTGGTGGAACTTCAAGACAATTTTGTACCAATACGACGTCCATGACATTTTACCTCAAACCAGTGTTGCGGTTTTGACGTTCAGCGCTTATTTGAACAGACGGTTTGAAGGTTTTGCTCTTGACTTCGATACTTTCAAGAGTAAGTGCTCTAATTATTGTTTGAATACGAGTTTTAAATTTTTGAATGCTCATAAACTAAGTTAAAGTAACAAAATTTCATTCTTAAAGATGTCTTTTTAAAAGTTGATCTTAAAGACTACATGTTCAGGAATGCACGCGTGTTTGTTTTTAATCTGTTTCTTATTGATTTAAGTATACTAATGATGGGCGGCTAAGGACCAATTTTGAGCAAAATCGTTCACTAGTGGGAAAGATAGATGAAAAATCGTTTGTTTCGTAAAGAAAGCAGGAAGTTTGGCAGAGAGGGCTTTATTGTAAACTTTTAACATTAAGATATGGAACCATCACAAAATCTCAATATTAGAGAAATTTTACGGGTGTTTTGCATAAAAGCGAGGGAAAACAAGAAAATAGCATTAAGACCCACAGTTTTGTATTAAATCTGAGTCAATTAACTTTTGAATGTTTCATTTCGACATAACAGCTGTGTCAAACAAACACGTGAAGGTTTTTAATGAATAAGTCTGGTTAAATTTTAGGTGGGTAGTAGGTAAGAATTTCCAAGCAATTTCTCAATATGGAATAAATAAGCAATATTATTAATATTTTCTTTTGATTCTTGTACATGGAATAGCAGTTTTCCCCTTTGATAACTAGCATATAATTATGTATTACAATTCAAAGTCAGTCAAACCTGTATCTAATAAAATAGTGTTTGCACCAAAAACGAGGCTAGACAACCAACTTTTAATACATGCGGTCAATCTACATTTTTTCCCATTTTCACGTAAAACTATTTACAATAAAAACATTAAGAGAGTGGAAGAGAAACTGGGGGACACAGGAATGCCAACCTCAAAATTTTTCGGAAAAAAGTGCCTTTTTGTTGAAGGTAATTCTCTTTAATTTCTAAGTTGCGTTTAAATTTTTAAAGCAGTAAGATACTTCCTTTTTCGCATCTCATCTGCTAGTTTTGTAAATTCTTTTATAATCAAGAGGCCCTTTTTTTATTCCTTGTTACAATTGTTGAAGGTCATCGTATAATAATTAAACTAGAAAATATTGTTTGATACTTATTATTACGTTATGTAAGTAATATCGATGAGAGAAATTTTGTATTTTTGGGAAAGTTAAAATCTATGAAAAAACGTTCATTATACATTGCACTTGTTGGAAATCGGAATATGAATATCCTTGTACTTTCTTGACTATGAATTTGTATTGTTGAAAGGCAAGGTTTGCTTTGATCATCTATAGGTAATATATAAAAGTATGTAAATAGTGGACACTTATAACTTACCTATAGATATAATTACTATGATTTTATCGAAACATTATTAAAGTACTGCAAAATGTCAAATGTAGAAATAATAAAGACTTGCAATTAGGGCAGCATGTTTTGGAAGATTATTTTGGATAGGTTTTGGGTTTGTCAGACGGAATGGTGAGGTCATGCATTTTGATTCGTGTTTTTAACACAGTGTTTTCTGTAGCTGCAATTAAGATGGTAAAGTAAATGGTTTGAAGCCGGGAGTATCGTTACTTGTTTGTGAAGGTAGATCATCCAGATAAGAAATACGGCTAACCTGACATTTACTCCTCATTTGACTCTAAACATGACTACCGCCAAGGTTGTCGAAACGCCAGTCAACAACAACAAGAACAGTCCTTCTCAGGACTATACTAACCTTAGACGATCTACACTTACAAACATGTAGTTAAGATGATGTTATCGATTTCCCAAAATTGTGTATAAATTATGGCAATTAACTAGCAGATTGTAGAGGTGTATTTTTATTTGTGAGTATACATATTTATCCATAACATCTTGATTCTAATTTTCAATTATAATTTGGAAGTATTCTATTTTTTACAAGAATCACATCTGACTGACGTAAGAACGCGGAAAATGGCGTGTTAGAATTCAATATTTCTAAGTTTTTTTAAGAGCAGATATACAAAATGCAATTGTGATATCTTTGCAGCGTTCGGATTAAACAGTCTCATTTTTAGCTTCCTCTTTTCCTTGCCAAATTAAGTATCCATTGCAGCTGAGGCATGCCCAACAATTAGATAGTTCCTTACGCCACTGTCTTTGCATGCATAAAGTGCTGTTCACCCCAAATGTGTTGATTTTAAGCTAGAGCATCGCTTTCGACATTCTTGATGGCACCCACATTCAATTAAAGCTGATTAAGAATAATTTATATCAGAAAGTGTTCCCCATAATAGTGTCTCTCCTTCACGTGACTCCTCCCATCTCCAGTCACATAAAGAAAGGAATCCATTTTTCATTAGACTCCTCCCACCCCTTATGACAAACGCCCTTTTGAAAAATCCCAGCCACCGCCATACATCAGTGATAACACACTACAAATTTTGGAGCAGTAAATCTTCCTAAATTGTAAACGGTGTTATGCTGGAGTCAGTTAATTGTGCCTACCTTGTGATTAGGCAAGGAAGGGGTCGCTAGATAGACGTACACCATTCTGGTCAACACTCTCTCACATTTCTAGCTCTTATTCAGCTTAAATCATGTGTGGGTGCAAGCAAAGATCTCAAATAATTTTATGCTCGTGTGTAAAATCAGCATTTGGAGTGCAAAACACTTTGTGCACACAGAGAGGACAATTTTGTAGATAACTACGTGATCTAAATGTCTTTGTTGAGCATAGTATTACGTTGAAATAAGAAAAAGCATGTAGATAGAGCGCAAATTTATTTAGCTATTGAAAGTTGGTTCTCTAGCCTCGTTATAGTGCAAACACTATTTTATTAGATACAGGTTTGACTAGCTTTGAATTGTAACACGTAATTAAATGCAAGTATTGAAAGTGTAAAATTGCTATTTCATTTACAAGAATTGAAAGATAAATTGAAAATATTGCTTAGTTATTCTATATTGAAAAATTGCTTCGAAACGTTTAACTCCTACCCCCTATAAATTCAAGGAGACTTATTTATTAAAAAGCTTCACATGTTTGTTTGACACAGATGTGATGACGAAATTAAACATTTAAACGTTAATTGACTCAGGTTTAATACAACATTATGGGCCTCGATGTCATTTTCTTGTTTTCCCTCGTTTTCATACAATACACCAGTAAATTTTCCTTATTATTGTGATTTGGCGATGACTTTATATCTAAATCTTAGTGTTCGCTAGTATTAAAAATCTTAGTATTAAATATTAGTAGCAGCTTCGTATCTATAGTATGCAATAAAATCCGTCTTGCTGCTTTTTTTACAAAACGAATGATCTTTTCATATATTCGCGCCAATATAAAGAAAGTTTACTTTACAAGTTGAAAAAACTTAACATTTCATTATTTATTTTATGTATTGTTATGTTTGACAATTTTTAGGTGATAACCAACCTCCTGCCTTCAGTGTCTGTTCTAACAAGACAATATCCAGTAACGTTGGTCGTATTTACTCACCTGGGTTCCCCTTTGGCTACAACTCTAGCTTAAGATGTAGTGTTACTGTGATGATTCCTCAGGACAAATCCTTAGAAATTGTAGTCAACTATATGGACATACATAGGCGTGAGTTAAATTTAAAAAAATTCTTTTTATGAACGTGTCTAGCTTACATAATCTTCGCAATTATTTATTGAATACGATGTGTTTGACTTTCTTTAAAGCTTCAATTGCAAATTCCTAGCTCTCAAGTTGAAATGTTCTACACTTTATTAGATTATTATTCTGGGTGCATTTATGACGAGTTGGTCATATCAGATGGATCAACTTCTAATTCTACGTGTGGAAAGTCAATTGTGAATAGTCGCCGAATTTTCTTTACCAAAGAAAATATTAATGTCAGTTTTCGTTCCGCTCCCTGGAGTAATAGTTTATCCGGTTTTCTACTGACATACAAAATTATTGATGGAGTGGGTATGTATACGTAAATTTTCACAAACGCCTTTTGGAAATCAGCATTTTGTGACATTGCAACATGCATATTATTTACTGTATTGCTGACTGCTCTTAATTTTAGATATTCATTGTACATTTGAAAACAATTGGTGCAATTTTACAAAGATTGGGGATTGGAAGCGAGTCATGGGATCAAACTTGGGCAACTGGTCGATAGAGGATCATACAATTGGCAACAGCTATGGTAAGTATGCTGTATTGTATTGCAATGTTAATTATTATAACGCAAAGAAAATACATTCGACTCTACATATGATTAAACTGGTTACATTTCTGCGATATTTAAGTTGCTTTCAAAATTGATTTGAGTTAGATATTTTTTCTTGAAAATAGATTTCGTCATAAAGTAGTCTGTAACCAATAATGAGAAACAAAAAATATTGTCATTTAAGTTGGGTTGGTGTTCTGGTTTTAAACAATTCTGTTAAGAACCTTTATTGTATTATTTTGACTATTCACCAACATTTTCTATTTTTACAACAATTTTTACATTTGTCACCTCGACAAAGTGTCTATTATAATAATTAGTTATCCATTAATATCTTAAATTTTCACTCAGGTCATTTTGTGATCTTGGAAACATCTATCTTGGAAAATGTAAAAAATGGAATCATTAAAAGAAACCTTACTGCAAACGGAAAATTAGCATGTTTGAATTTTTGGTATCAAAGCTACGGATATACATCAAATGTTTTAAAGATTTTTGTATTAGTTAATGGACGAAAGCTTCTGTTATGGAACAGCACGTTGGGTACAACAACTTCTTGGGAAAAAGGAAGGACGACAATTTATTTAAACTATAATCGTTTCTCTGTAAGTCACACATATATTGTAGAAGTTTTCATTAATTTAATAAATAGTGCATCAAAGTAAACAATTATATAGCATGTGATTCTCTTGAATCATTTTACAGATAATTTTTGAAGCTATGGTAAATTCATATCCTGGTTATATTTCCTTGGATGATATTCTTGTTGATATTGGTGAATGCAACAGTCCTGGTGAGGCTCAATTTAACATTACAATTTTGTGAAATTTACATGCCAAAATTAAGAGCTTCAATAGCTAGATGGATATTTTAGTAGCTACATTGTGTTGATAGTATTAAATAAATATGGAGTAAACATAACTGTTCAATTTTCTTAAGATAAAAATCAAACTCGAGGACGTAAAAAAACGACCAAAAATTGACAGTATGCTCCGAGACTTGAGTTTTCGTTAAACAAAGCAACGTGCATTTCCCGTTCCTTTTTGTCATTATTTAAGAACAGTGCTCGTTTTAAAAAATATAAGCAAATAGCATCAAGGAATCTGTAAGAAAACATTTGCTTTTTACTTTACGTGTCAAAACGTTTTCAAAGGCAACAATACGAAATGCCTTAGGAGCATGGCATAGCCTTACTTAGATATTGTGCAGTTTGTGTTACCATTTTTTAAATAGCATTCCTTGTTTTTAATAATTTAAATGTTTTTTTAGAAGATAGATGACACCAGTGTTTGATACACTAGTGAAACAAAATGACATGGGCAGTAACCAAAATGAATGTTATGTCATTAATACATTTTGGCAAAACTTGATATTCTGTTGTGTTTTGTTACCAAATATTTTGTATCCCCAACCATATGATTATAATAATACTGCTATTTTGTAATGGTCAATCATAAAAAGCAAAGCCTTGCGCACTCATCGAGTGCATATTTTCTATACATAATATTCTATACATCACAAATTTAAATTTAGAAAGTTCTTTTTGCAAAACATAACATTTTACATGCCACCATAAAGAAGTTTTTGTTCAAAACAGGTGACTGTAGCTTTGAAAATGGAATAAGCAACTCAAAATGTCTGTGGAGAAATGTTGGTTTTCCGCTTGATAATTATAACTGGATTGTCCATTCTGGTTCCACATCATACTACGGCACTGGTCCTAGTTTTGACAGAAAAGGATCCACTACAGGTGTGTGCTGTCATTAAATCAATTTTTTCCTTTCCTAAATATTATCTTTCTATATTGTATTGCATGGTTTGTATTTTTTGAACATTAAAATGTATAATGTCGTGGAGATAGTCTTTGTTTGACAAAAATCTTTACAGAATATTAGCCAAATAGAGTAATATAGAAGAAATAGAAATTATACTTGCTTGATACATAGTTCACATTTGACACAATCTTATTGAATGTACATTTTACGTCTAAACAGGAAAATACATTTATATGAGGGAAACTACGGAAGTATAGGTTCTAAAAGCTGGCTGGTTAGCAACTACTTTAATACATCAAGAAAATGTTTCACATTTTGGTATTATATGTATGGATCAACTGTTGGTTCCCTCAATATATACGAACAAACTATGGGAAAAGAAATGAAGCCTTTGTGGACTGTAACTGGTAACAGAGGAAATTTTGGCTCCAAGGTCAATTAACAATCAACTTTACCATTGGATCAAAAATTAGGGTAAGAATTACATAAAAATTAAAAGTATTAAGATATTAGTGTTTATTGCAGTAGGAAATACAGCAAAAAATCCATGCATCTTTATAAAAATGCTATTATAAAATTTTAAAGAATACATTTTTTTATCGATTAGCTATTGAAAACTATTTTCTACTACACTAAAATATCCACTCTTTTTAAGGGTTGGGGTCCACATAGCTGTTTTAAGAAAATTTATTGTTCGTATGATGACGATGCTTAGTTTTGAGATATTGCGTTCTTCATTGCTGCAGGGGAGTGACATTTACATCTATATGTACTGAAATGCAATATGCTGAGCCCTAGTAGGTTTAATGTGGTAAATTTACCATCTTTAGATAATTGTTGAAGGAGTTCGAGGATGGAGTAGTTCCAGTGACATTGCTCTTGATGATTTCAAATTTTTGGATGGAGCTTGTGATATACTTCCGCTAACTGCCAAACCTCCACGTGAGTGATGTAAACATTTTATAACGCAATATTTAAAGTGCAACTCCCGTGAAATTTAACCCTCTCTTTTTTCCACCAAATACAAAGTACGCATTAAAAGAAACTTTTTGGTATTTACTTCTGTTAAGTATAACATATCTAAATCCTAAGCTAAACATTAGCACCGGATGTGAATTTTTACAAATGAGGCGTGACGTCATAACATGTGCATGCCTCTCTACTGTATTATGGCTTTATATACAAATTGCAAGACCGACGATCTTTTTAATCAAATCCTGAGCCAGAAAATAGAATGCAATCCACGAAATAAGGACAGAAATGAGAACAAGTACTTGAAGGGCTTCAGGATTGTAAATAAACCCTCAAAAAATGAAAAATCAGCCATAGAATTTAAAAACATCAATCAGATGTAAAGTGGAACATCACCTTGTTAATCTAACAACTTTGTCGGAGAAATCCTGAACCACAATCCAAATCCAAGTTCTATATATTGCACTAGAATACTTGCTCAGCATTTGCAATAAATAGTTAAATATGTAATAAAATAAACATCCCAAAGACTGCAAAATGATAGTTTGAGTCATGATTTCAAATGACATACATGTACCCAGGTTGGAGAACTTAGGAGGTATAATCGACTGCCCAAGTTGAATCTCCAATCTTGTGGGAGGAAGGTGTCTCACATAGACAACAGAAATTTTCAAAAAGCAAAATTAACCATACAATTTGAAAGCATGTTTAAGCAGAAAAATGAACAACAATATGATGAAAACGGAAATATCACTTTTCAATCTAACAGCCACAGTTAGAGAAGTACAGCAATCACAATTCAAACTCTATATAAGTCTTACGTATACAACCCCCCAAAATAAAAAGTTAACCATAGAATTTGAACGCGAGTTTTTAGAACAGATACAAAAAATCTTAAAAGTCTCTACCAGGGGCTCATTGTACACAGCAATTTTTTCTTAACACTATATAAAAATGATGATTTCCATTTGATGAACAATTATACTTGACAATTGTGAATTTTACATGATAAAATTTGTCAGGATATTATCATCCAATTAAATCATCATCTTGACTTGATTCTTCAAAAGAAGAGTTGTCCTTGATGAAGGTTTATCTAAATCATCTTCATTCTCTCTACCATACAATCACCTACAAATTCTTTGTCCATTTTACGTACAGATGGAACATCCAAAAGCGCCTTCTGCTGTGCCTATAGCTTTTGAATTTGCTTCTGCAATGTTTCCCTGGTTTTCTTCAGTTGGCTGACAGTTTTTTTGGAGAAAGCTGATTTTTTTTGAAATAGCTGCATGATGTACAATTGGCAGACCAGCTTTTTCTTGTTCTTTTTTGCTTTGGCTTTATAATTTTCTAAAATCATAGTCTTCAAATTTTCACAATCGAACAAGTCTGTAGCAGTCATATCTGCCTTTGCTTTTTGCCCTTGTTCGTCAATTTTTCTAGGAGTACAGGACGATTTTATAGATGACGAAAACTTGCGAATCCACTGATAAATATAAATACATTAAAATGTGAGCAAGGGAACGTGTACATTCCATACCATACACAATTAATATGTTACTTTGTGTCTGTCTTGGTTGGCTATTCGCTATCTGTTGCTCACTCGTAGGAACAATTCCCTGCATGTCCACAGCAAAAGCAGCATTGCTTCTGTCTTCTTTTCATATACTCTATATGAAATCTGCTTACATCAAAGAAAGAATCTTCAAATGTGACGAGCAGAGCAACGAATTTAAAGTAGGCAACCATTGCGGTCTATATTTGCGAACAAAATTAATCCATTTTCTTTGTCTTCGAGAATCTGTTTCCTCGTAAGAAACTTATGCATAGAAATTCCTTCTGTATCATTGGTGCAACTAATTAAGTTAGGACCATCAGCAACACAATATTTACCTCCACGAACACGTTTTTCGCTATTAAAATATACACCATGTACATCTTATGTCGTAACAAGGCTCATGTGAAAAATTCGCCTAGTAAGTGCAAAAAATCGCAAATTTGAAGAGCTGTAGAATCGATTTGAAAACGTTAAATGAAATCTTTAAGTTCAGGCGAGAGTTTAGATATTATTAAATTGAATAAGTAGTGTTGTAGAAATGAAGTAGAAAATAACTATGCATTTTATGAAATTGAGAAATTTCTTGGCTTTTTTATTATTGAAAAATAGGCAACAGAAATAATCAGGCTAAAAAACATTAGAGTATGAACAAGTTTTCACTAACACTACATGTTTTATTTCTACAGGCTTTGGCATCCCTATAAACATTTGTCCATCACGAACTATTACGCTTTCTAAAGGACATATTGTGTCACCAAATTACTATCCACGTTACTATCTCTACGCAAGATGTACACTGACGATTAAACAACCCTTAATACAATCTTCAACTTCAGTTTTCTAATATCTCTCTTGACTCTTATTTAATCGGTGAGTACTTAAATGTAGTTTTTGATATCGTATAATTCTTCTCATGTGTGTTGATGCCCGTTTTATGCAATATTTTTCATATTTTTTAGACACAGATGTAATTTTAAAAGTTTTATCAAACAATGTCAAGACCTGTGTGCATGTGATATCAACGCATTTATACATGATAATATTCTGTCAATTTATACCAAATTTCTTTCGTTTATTTCATCATAACTCGAAAGTAATTTTAAGTCATTCTATTTAAATGAAAGTATTAAGTCAGCCAGTTTTTAAAAAAAATCAAGCGAAGATAGAGAATATGTTTAAAGTTGGATAGGAAATGCAATACATGTAAAAGAAGTTCATTTTAGTCAATATCAAGGAGATGAACATTGCAAGACATTAGAATTTTCAAGAAGAATTAAATATGTTCATAATTTGTTAATTATTATGTTTGCCAGCATATTGATCTATACAATAGTATAAAAGTTTCACCACACATTTCAAAATTTTGATGTGAATAATTTTATTGCTTTAATGTTATTTTCTTCTTTATAGTATGATTTTTAATTCCAAAACTGACGTTATTGATTTATAATTACTTTAATAATCCTTCAACAATTTATATGCAGGTAATAAAACAAGATGCGCAGATTCTCTCACTATATCTGGTGGAACTTCAAGACAATTTTGTACCAATACGACGTCCATGACATTTTTACCTCAAACCAGTGTTGCGGTTTTGACGTTCAGTGCTTATTTGAACAGACGGTTTGAAGGTTTTGCTCTTGACTTCGATACTTTCAAGAGTAAGTGCTCTAATTATTGTTTGAATACGAGTTTTAAATTTTGAATGCTCATAAACTAAGTTAAAGTAACAAAATTTCATTTTAAAGATGTCTTTTAAAAGTTGATCTTAAAGACTACATGTTCAGGAATGCACGCGTGTTTGTTTTAATCTGTTTTAATTGATTTAAGTATAATAATGATGGGCGGTTAAGGACCAATTTTGAGCAAAATCGTTCACTAGTGGGAAAGATAGATGAAAAATCGTTTGTTTTGTAAAGAAAGAACCAAATTTGCAGAAAGGGCTTTATTGTATACTTTTAACATTAAGATATGGAACCATTGCAAAATCTCATGTAAAAACATGTAGATAGAGCCGCAAATTTATTAACCCATTAAAAGTTAGTTGTCTAGCCTGGTTATGGTGCAAACGCTATTTTATTAGATACAGGTTTGACTAGCTTTGAATTTTAACACGTAATTAAATGCAAGTATTGAAAGTGTAAAATTGCTATACCATTTACAAGAATTGAAAGATAAATTGAAAACATTGCTTCTTTATTTTATATTGAAAAATTGCTTAGAAATTTTTAACTACTACCCCCCTTAAATTCAACCAGACTTATTCATTTAAAAGTTTCACGTGTTTGTTTGACACAGATGGGATGACGAAATGAAACATTTAAACATCAATTGAATCAGGTGTAATACAACACTATGCGTCTTGATTTCATTTTCTTGTTTTCCCTCGTTTTCATACAATACACGAGTAAGTTATCTTTAGTATTGTGATTTGGCGATGGCTTTATATCTAAATCTTAGTGTTCGCTAGTATTAAAATCTTAGTATTAAAATTAGTAGCAGCTTTGTATGTAAAGTATGCAATAAAATCCGTCTTGCTGCTTTTTACAAAACGAATGATCTTTTCATATATTCGCCCAAAATAAAGAAAACTTACTTTACAAGTTGAAAAACTTAACATTTCTTTATTTATTTTATGTATTGTCATGTTTGACGATTTTAGGTGATAACCAACCTCCTGCCTTCAGTGTCTGTTCTAACAAGACAATATCCAGTAACGTTGGTCGTATTTACTCACCTGGGTTTCCTTTGGCTACAACTCTAGCTTAAGATGTAGTGTTACTGTGATGATTCCTCAGGACAAATCCTTAGAAATTGTAGTCAACTATATTGACATATATATAGCGTGAGTTAAATTTAAAAAATTCTTTTATGAACGTGTCTAGCTTACATAATCTTCGCAATTATTTATTGAATACGATCTTTTGACTTTCTTTAAAGCTTCAATTGCAAATTCCTAGCTCTCAAGTTGAAATGTTCTACATTTTATTAGATTATTATTCTGGGTGCATTTATGACGAGTTGGTCATATCAGATGGATCAACTTCTAATTCTACGTGTGGAAAGTCAATTGTGAATAGCCCTCCAATTTTCTTTACTAAAGAAAATATTAATGTCAGTTTTCGTTCCGCTCCCTGGAGTAATAGTTTATCCGGTTTTCTACTGACATACAAAATTATTGATGGAGTGGGTATGTATACGTAAATTTTCACAAACGTTTTTGGAAATCAGCATTTTGTGACATTGCAACATGCATATTATTTACTGTATTGCTGACTGCTCTGAATTTTAGATATTCATTGTACATTTGAAAACAACTGGTGCAATTTTACAAAGATTGGGGATTGGAAGCGAGTCATGGGATCAAACTTGGGCAACTGGTCGATAGAGGATCATACAATTGGCAACAGTTATGGTAAGTATGCTCTATTGTATTGCAATGTTAATTATTATAACGCAAAGAATATACATTCGACTCTACATATGATTAAACTGGTTACATTTCTGCGATATTTAAGTTGCTTTCAAAATTGATTTGAGTTAGATATTTTTTCTTGAAAATAGATTTCGTCATAAAGTAGTCTGTAACCAATAATGAGAAACAAAAATATTGTCATTTAAGTTGGGTTGGTGTTCTGGTTTTAAACAATTCTGTTAAGAACCTTTATTGTATTATTTTGACCATTCACCAACATTTTCTTTTACAACAATTTTACATTTGTCACCTCGACAAAGTGTCTATTATAATAATTAGTTATCCATTAATATCTTAAATTTTCACTCAGGTCATTTTGTGATCTTGGAAACATCTATCTTTGAAAATGTAAAAATGGAATCATTAAAAGAAACCTTACTGCAAACGGAAAATTAGCATGTTTGAATTTTTGGTATCAAAGCTACGGATATACATCAAATGTTTTAAAGATTTTTGTATTGTTAATGGACGAAAGCTTCTGTTATGGAACAGCACGTTGGGTACAACAACTTCTTGGAAAAAGGAAGGACGACAATTTATTTAAACTATAATCGTTTCTCTGTAAGTCACACATATATTGTAGAAGTTTTCATTAATTTAATAAATAGTGCATCAAAGTAAACAAATATATTGCATGTGATTCTCTTGAATCATTTTACAGATAATTTTGAAGCTATGGTAAATTCATATCCTGGTTATATTTCCTTGGATGATATTCTTGTTGATATTGGTGAATGCAACAGTCCTGGTGAGGCTCAATCATTACAATTTTGTGAAATTTACATGCCAAATTAAGAGCTTCAATATCTAGATGGATATTTTAGTAGCTACATTGTGTTGATAGTATTAAATAAATATGGAGTAAACATAACTGTTCAATTTTCTTAAGATAAAAATCAAACTCGAGGACGTAAAAAAACGACCAAAAATTGACAGTATGCTCCGAGACTTGAGTTTTCGTTAAACAAAGCAACGTGCATTTCCCGTTCCTTTTTGTTATTATTTAAGAACAGTGCTCGTTTTAAAAAATATAAGCAAATAGCATCAAGGAATCTGTAAGAAAACATTTGCTTTTACTTTACGTGTCAAAACGCTTTTCAAAGGCAACAATACGAAATGCCTTAGGAGCATGGCATAGCCTTACTTAGATATTGTGCAGTTTGTGTTACCATTTTTTAAATAGCATTCCTTGTTTTTTAATAATTTAAATGTTTTTTTAGAAGATAGATGACACCAGTGTTTGATACACTAGTGAAACAAAAATGACATGGGCAGTAACCAAAAATGAATGTTATGTCATTAATACATTTTGGCAAAAACTTGATATTCTGTTGTGTTTTGTTACCAAATATTTTGTATATGTTTACCATATGTTTATAATAATACTGCTATTTTGTAATGGTCAATCATAAAAAAGCAAAGCCTTGCGCACTCATCGAGTGCATATTTTCTATACATAATATTCTATACATCAAAATTTAAATTTAGAAAGTTCTTTTGCAAAACATAACATTTTACATGCCACCATAAAGAAGTTTTGTTCAAAACAGGTGACTGTAGCTTTGAAAATGGAATAAGCAACTCAAAATGTCTGTGGAGAAATGTTGGTTATCCGCTTGATAATTATAACTGGATTGTCCATTCTGGTTCCACACCATACTACGGCACTGGTCCTAATTTTGACAGAAAAGGATCCACTACAGGTGTGTGCTCTCATTAAATCAATTTTTTCCTTTCCTAAGTATTATCTTTCTATATTGTATTGCATGGTTTGTATTTTTTTTAACAGTAAAAATGTATAATGTCGTGGAGATGGTCTTTGTTTGACAAAAATTTTTACAGAATATTAGCCAAATAGAGTAATATAGAAGAAATAGAAATTTATACTTGCTTGATACATAGTTCACATTTGACACAATCTTATTAAATGTACATTTTACGTCTAAACAGGAAAATACATTTATATGAGGGGAAACTACGGAAGTATGGGTTCTAAAAGCTGGCTGGTTAGCAACTACTTTAATACATCAAGAAAATGTTTCACATTTTGGTATTATATGTATGGATCAACTGTTGGTTCCCTCAATATATACGAACAAACTATGGGAAAAGAAATGAAGCCTTTGTGGACTGTAACTGGTAACAGAGGAAATTTTTGGCTCCATGGTCAATTAACAATCAACTTTACCATTGGATCAAAAATTAGGGTAAGAATTACATAAAAAACTAGAAGTAATAAGATATTAGTGTTTATTCCAGTAGGAAATACAGCAAAAAATCCATGCATCTTTATAAAAATGCTATTATAAAATTTTAAAGAATACATTTTTTTATCGATTAGCTATTGAAAACTATTTTCTACTACACTAAAATATCCACTGTTTTTTAAGGGGTTGGGGGTCCACATAGCTGTTTTAAGAAAATTCATTGTTCGTATGATGACGATGCTTAGTTTTTGAGATATTGCGTTCTTAATTATTGCAGGGGGGAGTGACTTTTACATCTATATGTACTGAAATGCAATATGCTGAGCCCTTGTAGGTTTAATGTGGTAAATTTATCATCTTTAGATCATTGTTGAAGGAGTTCGAGGTTGGAGTAGTTCCAGTGACATTGCTCTTGATGATTTCAAATTTTTGGATGAAACTTGTGATATACTTCCACTAACTGCCAAACCTCCACGTAAGTGATGTAAACATTTTATAACGCAATATTTAAAGGGCAACTCTCGTGAAATTTAACCCTCTCTTTTTTCCACCAAATACAAAGTATACGTTAAAAGAAAATTTTGTATTTACTTGAGTATCTTCAGATGTATAACATACTACAATTCAAACTCTATATAAGTCTTACGTATACAACCCCCAAAATAAAAAGTTAACCATAGAATTTCAACGCGAGTTTTAGAACAGATACAAAAATCTTAAAAGTCTCTACCTGGGGCTCATTGTACTGCAATTTTTCTCAACACTATATAAAAATGATGATTTCCATTTGATGAACAATTATACTTGACATTTGTGAATTTTACATGATAGAATTTGTCAGGATATTATCATCCAATTAAATCATCATCTTGACTTGATTCATCAAAAGAAGAGTTGTCCTTGATGAAGGTTTATCTAAATCATCTTCATTCTCTTGTACCATACAATCACCTACAAATTCTTTGTACACTTTACGTACAGATGGAACATCCAAAAGCGCCTTCTGCTGAGCATAAAGCTTTTGAATTTGCTTCTGCAATGTTTCCCTGTTTTTTTTCAGTTGGCTGACAGTTTATTTGGAGAAAGCTGATTGTTTTTTGAAATGGCTGCATGATGTACAATTGGCAGACCAGCTTTTTCTTGTTCTTTTTTGCTTTGGCTTTATAATTTTCTAAAATCATAGTCTTCAAATTTTCACAATCGAACAAGTCTGTAGCAGTAATATCTGCCTTTGGTTTTTGCCCTTGTTCGTCAATTTTTCTAGGAGTACAGGACGATTTTATAGATGACGAAAACTTGCGAATCCACTGATAAATATAAATACATTAAAATGTGAGCAAGGGAACGTGTACATTCCATACCATACACAATTAATATGTTACTTTGTGTCTGTCTTGGTTGGCTATTCGTTATCTGTTGCTCACTCGTAGGAACAATTCCCGGCATGTCCACAGCAAAAACAGCATTGCTTCTGTCTTTTCTTCATATACTCGATATGAAATCTGCTTACATCAAAGCAAGAATCTTCAAATGTGACGAGCAGAGCAACGAATTTAAATTAGGCAACCATTGCGGTCTGTATTAGCGAACAACATTAATCCATTTTCTTTGTCTTTGAAAATCTGTTTCCTCGTAAGAAACTTATGCATAGAAATTCCTCTGTATCGTTGGTGCAACTAATTAAGTTAGGACCATCAGCAACACAATATTTACCTCCACGAACACGTTTTTCGCTATTAAAATATACACCATGTACATCTTATGTCGTAACAAGGCTCATGTGAAAAATTCGCCTAGTAAGTGCAAAAAATCGCATTTTTGAAGAGCTGTAGAATCGATTTGAAAACGTTAAATGAAATCTTTAAGTTCAGGCGAGAGTTTAGGTATTATTAAAATTGAATAAGTAGTGTTGTAGAAATGAAGTAGAAAATAACTATGCATTTTATGAAATTGAGCAACTTCTTGGCTTTACTATTATTGAAAAATAGGCAATAGAAATAATCAGGCTAAAAAACACATTTGAGTATGAACACGTTTTCACTAACACTACATGTTTTATTTCTACAGGCTTTGGCATCCCTATAAGCATTTGTCCATCACGAACTATTACGCTTTCTAAAGGACATATTGTGTCACCAAATTACTATCCACGTTACTATCTCTACGCAAGATGCACACTGACGATTAAACAACCTCTTAATACAATCTTCAACTTCAGTTTTTCTAATATCTCTCTTGACTCTTATTTAATCGGTGAGTACTTAAATGTAGTTTTTTTGATATCGTATAATTCTTCTCATGTGTGTTGATGCCCGTTTTTATGCAATATTTTTCATATTTTTTTAGACACAGATGTAATTTTAAAAAGTTTTATCAAACAATGTCAAGACCTGTGTGCATGTGTTATCAACGCATTTATACATGATAATATTCTGTCAATTTATACCAAATTTCTTTCGTTTATTTCATCATAACTCGAAAGTAATTTTAAGTCATTTCTATTTAAATGAAAGTATTAAGTCAGCCAGTTTTTAAAAACAATTAATTAAGCCAAGATAGAGAATATGTTCAAAGTTTGATAGGAAATGCAATACATGTACAAGAAGTTCATTTTAGTCAATATCAAGGAGATGAACATTGCAAGACATTAGAATTTTCAACAAGAATTAAATATGTTCATAATTTGTTAATTATTATGTTTGTGCCAGCATATTGATCTATACAATAGTATAAAAGTTTCTCCACACATTTCAAAATTTTGTTGTGAATAATTTTATTGCTTTAATGTTATTTTCTTCTTTATAGTATGATTTTTAATTCCAAAAATGACGTTATTGATTTATAATTACTTCAATAATCCTTTAACAATTTATATGCAGGTAATAGAACAAGATGCGTAGATTCTCTCACTATATCTGGTGGAACTTCAAGACAATTTTGTACCGAGACGACGTCCATGACATTTTTACCTCAAACCAGTGTTGCGGTTTTGACGTTCAGTGCTTATTTGAACAGACGGTTTGAAGGTTTTGCTCTTGACTTCGATACTATCAGGAGTAAGTGGAGTAATTGTGCTGTCTAATTATTGTTTGACTACGAGTTTTAAATTTTGAATGCTCATAAACTAAGTTAAAGTAACAAAATTTCATTCTTAAAGATGTCTTTTAAAAGTTGATCTTAAAGACTACATGTTCAGGAATGCACGCTTGTTTGTTGTTAATCGGTTTTAATTGATTTAAGTATAATAATGGTGGGTGGTTAAGGACCAATTTTGAGCAAAATCGTTCGCTTGTGGGAAAGATTGATGAAATCTCGTTCGTTTTGTAAAGAAAGAACCAAATTTGCAGAAAGGGATTTATTGTATACTTTTAACATTAAGATATAGAACCATTGCAAAATCTCATGTATCAAAAAACATGTAGATAGGCCGCACATTTATTAACCCATTAAAAGTTAGTTGTCTAGCCTGGTTATGGTGCAAACGCTATTTTATTAGATACAGGTTTGACTAGCTTTGAATTTTAACACGTAATTAAATGCAAGTATTGAAAGTGTAAAATTGCTATACCGTTTACAAGAATTGAAAGATAAATTGAAAACATTGCTTATTTATTTTATATTGAAAAATTGTTTAGAAATTTTTAACTCCTACCCCCCTTAAATTCAACCAGACTTATTCATTTAAAAGCTTCACGTGTTTGTTTGACACAGATGCGATGGCGAAATAAAACATTTAAACATCAATTGAGTCAGGTGTAATACAACACTATGCGTCTTGATTTCATTTTCTTGTTTTCCCTCGTTTTCATACAATACACCAGTAAGTTATCTTTAGTATTGTGATTTGGCGATGGCTTTATATCTAAGTCTTAGTGTTCGCTAGTATTAAAAACCTTAGTATTAAAAATTAGTAGCAGCTTTGTATGTAAAGTATGCAATAAAATCCGTCTTTCTGCTTTTTTTACAAAAACGAATGATCTTTTCATATATTCGCCCCAATAAAAAGAAAGCTTACTTTACAAGTTGAAAAAACTTAACATTTCTTTATTTATTTTATGTATTGTCATGTTTGACGATTTTTAGGTGATAACCAACCTCCTGCCTTCAGTGTCTGTTCTAACAAGACGATATCCAGTAACGTTGGTCGTATTTACTCACCTGGGTTTCCGTTTGGCTACAACTCTAGCTTAAGATGTAGTGTTACTGTGATGATTCCTCAGGACAAATCCTTAGAAATTGTAGTCAACTATATTGACATCTATAGGAGTGAGTTAAATTTGAAAAAATTCATTTTATGAACGTGTTTAGCTTACATAATCTTCCCAATTATTTATTGAATACAATCTTTGTGACATTCTTTAAAGCTTCAATTGCAAATTCCTGGCTCTCAAGTTGAAATGTTCTACATTTTATTAGATTATTATTCTGGGTGCATTTATGACGAGTTGGTCATATCAGATGGATCAACTTCTAATTCTACATGTGGAAAGTCCATTGTAAATAGTCGTCCACTTTTCTTTGTCAACGAGAGAGTTAATGTCAGTTTTCGCTCCTCTTGGAGCAGTGGTAGATCAGGATTTTTGCTGACATTTAGGGTAGTGAAGATATCAGGTAATTTTTTTCGATTATATCATCATTGGTGTAACAAAAACTGTAAATCTCAATTCATAAAATGTCATATTATAACGAAACGTTTCCAGTACTGTGCAATTAGGATTTCTAAGATCGTTTGCATCATTTGTGTATATATTACAATAACACGACCATAAATTGCGATCTGTGTACTCCAATATGTATAGGAAAGTACAGCAGTCGTAGAATGTTTTATCACTGGTGCGGGTTTGAAGTGGACTATACAATATTCATATAATACCCAGATATTCATACATGCATAGAAATTCTGTGCATCCATTATCTAACTAATGATATTTTTGTGGATTTCGAAACCATTTTGGTTTATCGTTTCTTTGCACGATCATTTCAGAAAAGCAATCAAAAAAATATTCTCTACTACAGTTACATGTTCCGTCTGGAAAGGACAGCAAAACGGCAGAAAAATTTCTGTTTAATATATGCTTTAAAATGAACACAGATGACAACTATTAAGACATCAAAAGTAGCAAAGTAACTCTTGCCAGGTTTTCTGGCTGGAGTGTTGAATGCAACAAGTGAGGACGTGAGAACTGGGAAGAAATAAGAGATTTTCTGCGTAGAGACAGTTTTGCTTTGTGTTCTGCTACTCTTGTGATTTCGCACATATGAAATAAAATTTAAAGCGACAAAAAATACAATATTTTGTTGTATTTAGCAGTCCCACTTTACGAAGTTGGTGAGGCAAAGTTTATATAAAGTCGCATTCTAACTGCAAGACCAGAATTTAGGAGCATGAATCGTCTTTTACATAACATTTGTAGTTCGTCTGTATGAGTGAGTAAGCTTCCTAATCATAGTGCATTTGAACATTCATGGCTATCATTCCAGAAAGTGGTCCTTTACTGTGAATTTATTATTGGAAAACTTATTTGAGTGGGAATGCTCAGCATCTTACTGCATTTAATGATCAAAATTCTGCATTCACACATTCTAGAAAGCAAGATCTATGTGACACACTCATATAATACGTTTTTACGCTTATATAATAAAAAAAGTCGGAAATTAGGCTGTGGTAATTTGCACCCTTATTCATTTCTTGGTTAAGTATACTTAAGTATACAAAAGTGGTACCTTTATCATCACCTGACTGGCCCTTACGTTACAACCTAATATTATTTTCAAAATATTGCTTAAACTGTACCTGACGTACTACAATTTGAAAACAGGCGATTGCAGCTTTCATTTCGGACTCCAGAATTGTCAGTGGAATAACGTTGATTTGGTTGACAACTTTAATTGGACTGTCCATTCTGGCCCCACAGGAAGTTATGCTACTGGTCCTTCAAATGATAGAAGAGGATCTACTACAGGTATGCAATTATCGAGTCTGGGCTTATGTTTGTTTCGTGCAGTATATGTATTTTGTGTGTTTAATGTATGATAATACAACTCAATATTCAATAACACAGCTGAGATATGTTTCTTTTGTACAATTCTGAAAAACCCTTTCTTAAGTCAAAAAGCAAGAATAATGTTTTTGACTCATAAAACGAAAGTGCGAAATAAGGATTAATTTAAAATTAATCTTTTGGAAAAAAATATTGATCTAAAAAGAGATCTGTAATAGAAACAGAAACACTCTTAGACAATTAAGGTGTTTGGGTAAAGAGTTATTACTTGCCAAAATTCTTAAGAAGAATAGCTTTTCCGATAGTATATTTTTCAAGTTCTTTTCAACCAGTCTCACATTTTTTACCACTATACCTAAACGAAACGGCAACACTGCATTCAAATTTTCTATTTATAACTTGTTGTAAATATTAAGGTTTACCAATATTTTATATCATGTGCAGTTAGACGCATATAATGTTGAACTAATTAAGCTTTTATATTGAAAGCTGTGTCTTTCCCGTTTTCAGTTTCAGCTAATCAGAAATATTATTATTAAAGTAAATGGTTTGCACCAGGAGTATCGTCCAGGTTAGTAGAGTCCTAAGAAGGACTGTTGGTAAGAAATTGACTGACGTTTCGACAACCTTATCAGAAGCTTGTACAAAGAACCTCAATACCAACACTCCTTCTCGGGACTCTACTAATCTGGAAAATCTTCATCCACAGACATGTAATATTTTTAATATGGAGTCAAAACTTGCTTAGGTAAATTCGTCACACAGAGTTAGCATAAAGTAATTTTTTTAGGAAAGTATATTTACATCGAAACATCAAGTCCTCGAGTGCAGGGTGATAAAGCATGGCTGGTCAGCAACTATTTTAATTCGTCCGTTAAATGCTTCAAATTCTGGTATCATATGTATGGATCAACAATTGGCTCTCTCAATATATACGAACAATCTATGAGAGGAGGAGCATTAAGTATGATTTGGACCCTTAGTGGTAATAGAGGAAATTATTGGAGACAAGCCCAAGTTACAATATTTGCCAACTTTAGTAGATTGCCAACCAGGGTATGTAGAAGAGGATAATTTGCTATTACAAAATACAGTGTTCAAGGATTATCTTGTGATGTTTCTTTCTTTCACTATACTTCAAACTAAATTCACAATTTGAGCTTCTTTGACATTAAAGAAGGTCGTGTCACTAATATTATTCGTCTTCCAAACATAACTACGCGAAAAGTATTTTTTATTTAAACTGCGTGTAAAGACTTTATCTTCATACTAATAAACTTTGTTTTGTTTTTTCAGATAATTGTTGAAGGTGTTCGAGGTTCTAGTTTTACGGGTGACATTGCTCTGGATGACTTTGTTTTCTTCGATGGTCAATGTAATATTCATCCAACATATGCCAAGCCAGGTTTTAGAAGTAAGGAATTTTTGCATTCATTTAAGTCTCATTGGATATAAAAGAAACGCCAATCAACTAATCAAAAGTAATTTCATAACATATAATTTGTCTCTGTAAGTAGAAAAATTTCAAAAGCATATCAGTTGATATGGTAGCTTTTAATGCATTATTGACAATATAAATACAACTTTTTAAGTTAGGACAAGTAAAACATGTAAACGTACACGGAATTAAAAATGTAGTAGAGTATTAAGGCATCATTGAACATAAAAGAGCCATAAAAATTATACAAATATATCAAATTTGTCGACAAACCGCCGTTTTTCCAAAAGATACATTTTTATATTTGAATGATGCATATGTAAGCAAGACTGCTCGCGGCTTTAACAATTACGTATGTCATCTCATAATAGTCGACGGACTAATAAATATGCTGCAGATCAAAAATTGCGTCTTTGTTTACAATTTCTGAGATCAGAACACCAAAGAAGCAGACAAACGAACTGATATCTTCAATGAAGTGCCAGATTATAAAATGTGATGTTAATATGATGCAATGTTCATAGTAATGCTCTTATTACTCTGCATTCTTTTATTATTACGACCAAAACTCGACTGAGTTTATCTTTTTTTAATAATCATCATTTATAGTAGGCGTTTTCTCTTGTTTCTGAAAGTAAGACAAGAATAAATGAATTTTAATTTGAAATTGTGCTGTGCATGTCACTTTAATTCCTTTACGTTCCATCAATGTAACATCTGACACTCATTTTCATTTTGTTAGGTTCAACAGTAAGTCCATCAATATATACAACATCGTTTTATAGTAAGTATTAAGTAATTCCTTGCGTTTCTAAAAGTAGTAAATGGTTAAAACCAACAAGGCGTAATTTTATTTTAGACCAGTCAAAACCAATCAAATGTTTGTTCATATTTTGTCTCTAAACGAATCTCATGTCACAATTTCTTCTGTACAGGACTTTTATCAATGAATAGTGTTCAATTCATTGAAACTCTGCATGTGCAGGCCTTTAGATTTTTTCAAACTCCAACTATGCTGTTATAAGGAAAATTAACTATGTATAAATCAATCTCGTAGATTTTTATCAATAAGCGTGAGCCTATGCCTATAAAAGTTGCAAACCACGGATTAACATGAGATAATGACAACTAAACTGAAAACATGGGATGCTAGAGACATCACAATATAAGATTTGTCGCTAACCTGCCTGCCCGTTAAGTACTGTCGTGTAAATTTCAGTAGACGTGTTTATTTCTTAAAAATGGTATTTTTTATGCAGTGGCTAAACAACAAATTATTTGACAAGATGATTAAACTGCATTAACCGTTAACATACTTGTTAAAGTTACTCATCACTCTCTCCAGATGCTTTCCTTTGATTAGTATTTTTGAGCTTTTAAGCATCTCACACTGACGTAAGCTGTTATAGTTTGATATGGCTTTTATATTTTGAGCCTATTTATAATGCTAAAGTTTGATTTTTTTTTTGATTTTGGCATTTGGCGGCAATCTCTTGCTTAACCATCATGATTCACCTTAAATGAGTTGAGAATACTTTTTAAAAATAAAATGCATAAAAACTGACATACATGCCAAACAGACGGAAATGTTATTTCCTTATATATAAGTTACTGAAAACTTTTTCATTAACTATTGCTATCTAAACTGTTAGATGATAATGATCGAATGATATATTTTTTCAATAATTTACTTTTCTAAGACCACAATTTCTATATTCCTACAAACTACTTGCTTTTTAAATCTATCTTTTAGCAACACCATCAACAACATCAACAGCCATAACACCAGGTATGGTCACCGCATTTATTTCAGAGTTAAATGATATATGCTTAACGCCAAATATTTTGCCAAACTTGTCTGACAAATAACTTTGATAATTTTAAATAGGCATGCAACTAATGATATCTCAAATTAATTTTGCAAAGCATTGTGCTACTTCACCAGAAGTAGGAGAAATTCACAAGTGTTCAATAATAATAATAACAATAATAATAACAGTGGTAGTGCTATAAATAATTTTTGTAAATGTAGATCTTCCAGGTTGGTATAGTCCTGAGAAGGACTGTTTTGTTGTTGACTGACGTTTCGACAAACTTAGCTGTAGTCATCTTCAGAGTCAAACAGAGTCACATTTTTTGACTCCGAAGATGGCTACCACTAAGGTTGTCGAAACGTCAGTCAACAACAACAAAAACAGTCTTTCTCAGGACTATACCAACCTGGACGATCCCCATTTACAAACATGTAACGATTCCCGGCTCAAACCATTTATTTTGATATAAATAATAATAAAAATTTGTTGGGCTATGATCTTTTATTAAAATTTGAATGACATTATGCCCTGGTTACTATTGAAGATGAAAAACACATTTTAAAACACCTGCATAACTAGAAAGCTTATGCATTGCAAGTAATTACAATTATGAAGTTACAACACTGGCATACTTGTGTTTTTTTAATAGTAAACCTCGTGTGTGACTTTACCAACAACACTGGCATACTTGTGTTTTTTATAGTAAACCTCGTGTGTGACTTTACCAACAACACTGGCATACTTGTGTTTTTATAGTAAATCTCGTGTGTGACTTTACCAACAACACTGGCATACTTGTTTTTGTAGTAAACCTCGTGTGTGATTTTACCAACAACACTGGCATACTTGTGTTTTTTATAGTAAATCTCGTGTGTGACTTTACCAACAACACTGGCATACTTGTGTTTTTGTAGTAAACCTCGTGTGTGACTTTACCAACAACACTGGCATACTTGTGTTTTTATAGTAAACCTCGTGTGTGACTTTACCAACAACACTGGCATACTTGTGTTTTTATAGTAAACCTCGTGTGTGACTTTACCAACAACACTGGCATACTTGTGTTTTTATAGTAAACCTCGTGTGTGACTTTACCAACAACACTGGCATACTTGTGTTTTTTTGTAGTAAACCTCGTGTGTGACTTTACCAACAACACTGGCATACTTGTGTTTTTATAGTAAACCTCGTGTGTGACTTTACCAACAACACTGGCATACTTGTGTTTTTTATAGTAAACCTCGTGTGTGACTTTACCAACAACACTGGCATACTTGTGTTTTTATAGTAAACCTCGTGTGTGATTTTACCAACAACACTGGCATACTTGTGTTTTTATAGTAAACCTCGTGTGTGACTTTACCAACAACACTGGCATACTTGTGTTTTTATAGTAAACCTCGTGTGTGACTTTACCAACAACACTGGCATACTTGTGTTTTTATAGTAAACCTCGTGTGTGACTTTACCAACAACACTGGCATACTTGTGTTTTTGTAGTAAACCTCGTGTGTGACTTTACCAACAACACTGGCATACTTGTGTTTTTATAGTAAACCTCGTGTGTGACTTTACCAACAACACTGGCATACTTGTGTTTTTATAGTAAACCTCGTGTGTGACTTTACCAACAACACTGGCATACTTGTGTTTTTATAGTAAACCTCGTGTGTGATTTTACCAACAACACTGGCATACTTGTGTTTTTATAGTAAACCTCGTGTGTGACTTTACCAACAACACTGGCATACTTGTGTTTTTATAGTAAACCTCGTGTGTGACTTTACCAACAACACTGGCATACTTGTGTTTTTATAGTAAACCTCGTGTGTGACTTTACCAACAACACTGGCATACTTGTGTTTTTATAGTAAACCTCGTGTGTGACTTTACCAACAACACTGGCATACTTGTGTTTTTTATAGTAAACCTCGTGTGTGATTTTACCAACAACACTGGCATACTTGTGTTTTTTATAGTAAACCTCGTGTGTGACTTTACCAGCGACCAATGCAACTTTGTGATGTATGGAAGTCTTGCACGAGTTAGAAACGCGAAAAATTCATCCATTGTCGACCACACTACAGGAACTTCGTCTGGTAAATGTGCATCTGTTATAATCCAACAAAAAATATTTTTAATGTATATAGCGGTAGCAGAGCAAGCTCAAACTGTTACTCTTACTATTCCTCTTTGTTATAACCGAGAGATCAAGGACTTAATACTGTTTGTATGGAATATCGCCTATCGACGTTAACAACTTTGTTAATTTTATTCCCCACAACCGCACAAGAAACTGCCTTAATCCGGAAATATTGCTGAAAACTCAGTCCTGTAAAACATCCTTATTAAAGGCCTCATATTTTAATAGAATTACAAAATTGTGGAACATTATGTGTAAAGTAGCTCCTCCATTATCCCTAGATACTCTTTCTTCATTCAAGAATTTTGTCACCAATCACTACTTTAATTTATTAGTAAATGTTTTCGATATTGTCCAACCGTGTACCTGGTCAGCTTTTATAGACTGTTCTTGTCATAGAACGCATTTACACTGATTTATTATTTACTATCTTGTAAAATTTTTTATTCTGTAGGGAGTTTCCTTGCATGGGTACTCACGTCCCGTTCGTTACTCCCTTTTGGCCATCTCTACCGTGTTAAATTTACTTATTTATTTCTTATCGTAACTGAGTAGAATGCCAATAAAGCTGTTAAATCAAAAAAAAAATTACTTTGCAAAATTTCCAACAAACTTACCATTCATCTTTTCAGAAAAATAATTCCGAAAAATATCGTTGATTTTTTTCATTAAATAAGCACAAACGTATTTACACTGTTGGAGTAACAGACTGTGTAATTGCAACTGCAATTGGTGAATAGCTTTGACCTCATCACTACATTTTAATTTCATTTCTAAAGATTACTTACAATAAATACTGCATTTAAATAGGCGTTAAAAATTGCGTACATATTTTACATAATTATCTATTTAATTTTTTTTTACTGTGTAATCATCGCTAATCGTCTTTCTTCTTTAATAGGTTATTTTGTGCTTCTCGAATCACAATTCAACTATGTTTACAAATACGGATATATGATAAAACAGTTAAGCAATGTGCGAGGTGATCTATTCTGCTTAACTTTTTGGCACGAAATCAATGCCAACAATTCTGCTGCATGGCTATGGGTGTATTATAATTCATGGATAACAATATGGACGCGTTCAAACGCTAATGAAACATCGTGGAAAAGAGAAAAAATTACCATAAACGCAACAGATGGTTTTATTTCTCAAGTAAGTGAGTAATTATGATGTTAAATAAAAAATTAACATATTTTATATTGACATAATTATGTTTAATTCCTTCCAATTCTATGTATAACGTAATACCCAAATAATAGCCAAATGCTATAGGCAGGGTCATTGCAGGTGCATTTATTGTTAAGAACGAAAACAGCCATGGTGTTATCAATCATAGTTTTTACATGCTATCAATCATAGTTTGTCAGCAAGAAAAACATGGAAAACTTTTTTAAAAAAATTTGGCAGCTAGAAGTTTTAGATAGTTGATATGGTTTGACTTTTCCGAATTAGTTCAGAATCTACCAGTTCTTTGGTTCCACAAAGCACCACTCCAACCGGAAAGTGATGCATCAGAGTGAACTACTAAATCTATTGCTGGAGTATGAACGAGATGATTCGCATGTGGTATTGATGACCGCCACCAATTTAATTCGTCAATTGATTTAGAGGATAAAGCCATGCACACTTCAAAATTCCCTCGAGATTGTTTCAGCGAAAATATTTTGTCCATTTCAATTGATCTGTAATGGCATTTGCAACGTCTTGCTGCAGGAAAGAAAGAAAATAGCAAGTCAATTACTTGAGCAGCCTCGCGTATGGTATATTTTAAGATTAAAAGAGCACTAACTCGAAAAGGGATTTTAGAAATTTTTCCTAGGTTGATTGTATTTTCATAGTCGTCGAGTGTAATTGAAATCCACAGTTTTCTGTTCCGTGATGATGGAAGATTTTTCTACGTGAATAACAAAATCTAAACTCGAAAACTATTTAATGGCCTCTACAACCGTTTTTGCGCATCCTTCGTAGCTATGTTGTTACAAAAATCAATATGTCATCAATGTATACTATTAAACCCGTATGAAAATATTAAAAACTTTTAGTAATATTCAGCTATACTAACACATAGTATGCATCTTTTAATGCTAGTGATGCCATCCAGCACCCGTTTGAGATTATTGACATTGCAGAATGGATAGAATCCATTATGAAATGACTCGTATTTACATATTCATTCAGTTTTTTTAAATTAAGAATTAGTCTGACCTTGTCATCGTTCTTTGGAACGAAAAAAAAATAGGCGAGATGAACTCATCCTGTTCATGAGTGGATCTTATTATGACTATTAAGATTTTTGCTTTAATTTTAACCGCATGTTTATTGCATATAGAATTGATGGGCCGAATTTGGCAAAATGGGGCTTTGAGACAAAGTGAATTATATCGCCTTTCACAATCAGAAATATTTGTGGTCAGATGTCAATTATTGCAATTTTTGAAGAAAACGGCATATTTGTCCCCCAGAAAATAATTCTACAGCGCGTGTAGGTGTTGGTAATATTTTTGTTTGTAAAATGGTGAGGAAAGTTATTTTCCTGTAAATCTATTGAAGACTATGTTGTCTAAATTGAGGGCGGAAGGGTTTCCGAAAATGTTGTTGTTGGGGAGAGAAGTAACCCTCCTCCCTTCTGGAGAAAAAAATAGTTTGCTTTGTTGGTTGGTATGGTGCAAAACGTGGGCGTAGTGTGAAATCGCTGATTAGCATCTTGCCTTGCAACTTGGCCTCAAGCGGTGATTTGAGCGGTTACACATTGGTTTTAATTCGCCGCTAAGAAGCGGACGGATTGAGTCTCGACGCTTGTAAGATAACTCTAAGTTTGCGTGCCCTAATAAGGTAACGGCATAAAAGAGCCTAGTCGTAAAATCTGGCAAAGACTTCGTCTCTCTATATTTCAACAGGTGATCGACAGTAACTGAAAGGGAACTTGCCACACGCACAATAGAATCTTGTAGAACTGCGGTGCGCAAATATCGCTGACGATGGAAATTATCATTGGCCTTGGGCACAATAACTTTGTCGCAATTTTGCGGTGGGCTAGATTTTTCAATTATATTTCTGCGCTCTTCAAGCCCAATATGTGATGAAAATTTTTCATTTGTAATTTGAGTGATTTTGGGATAAATCGCTGGAGCGCGTGCATCAGAAGGTCTTAACAAAACGTCAATTGCTTCCAAAAACTCATCATTATTGGAATCAATATTATCAAAATCATTTCCACCAACCAAACTAACAACATCGTCATTGTTTTCCTGCATATCAATGGCGTCAGTGGCTGAATTATCTAAAACTTCCTCTGAGTTTGGCGCACCTGCTTCCTCTGAATTTGTTGTGTTGCCTTCCTCTGAGGCTGGCATTATTGAGTCTTCTGACACAACATCAGTAAACATATTTTTGTTTTGGCACAAAGGCTGTAAAGCACTAAGCAATTTAGTGGTTTCTGCCATGGTATTTTGTACTGCAGAAAATATACTAATTAAAGAAGAGCTTTCAGTTGGAGACACGATTGGTCAGACATCTTTTCACTAAAAAATCCAAACGTAAATACAACTATACAAAAGAAACATAGCTTCTTAAATTCCAAGGATAAAAGAGCTTCTTCCAATCCAAAAAATCCAAAACACACGAGGAGTGATAACCAAAGCGTGCTCACTGGTTCACATGTACAGCACAACTGGTTAATTAAAGCGCAGTGCTCTCTCCCCCACAGCCACGTAACGACTACAACTAATGACGTAATAGGATTAACGTAGCAGGACTACAAGCATGCCAATTAGCTACGCCAACGCAATCAAACTTTGAATCATACTCAACTGGAATAATGGTTCAAACCTCTAAAGGCCACTGTTGCCGTGTACAAACTTTTGAAAAATTCATGCTCCTAGAGAGTTAAGCTTCTTGTCCTTTCTAATCTTTTGATAATTTCTATTTTAAATTTATACTCGATGTAGTGATTTTATTAAAGAATTGTTGCGAATATGTCGTAGTTACTGAATTAACTTGTAAATTGAACAAGTTGGTTTTACCTCATCAAAATGAGGAAAGCGACTATTTTCAACTTTTCTGTTCCTTTTTTTGGTCTTAAAAAACTTAAACTATCCTCAATCCGTCAGAAATTACGTATAATTGCCGTTTAATCTTCTTTTAAAACGTAGAGTTTGGTCATTACAATTTTTTAGAAATATGTATTTGGTGCTAAAGAAAAAGGTGTAATGCATGATGACTATCGCACCAGCTTAAGTCACCATACATGGTTTTATAAAAAGGAATAAAACACTGTAAAACTAAGCACGTGATAACTTGTGAAGATCTAATTTTTCATCAAATTGATAAATTTGTTTGATTTTTTTCAGATTATATTTCATGCATCTGTTTACTCTTATCCTGCTTATGTCGCTTTGGACGATATTTCTTTGGTCAGTGGCAAATGCGTTGATGATGGTGAGTACAAACATAAATATATACTTTCAGAGAGACAACATGAGTTTTTTTCCAAATGTACTATAAATTTTGGGAAAATATACTATAAATAACTGATTCTGAGCACATAATTCGAGCAATTTCTAGAATTTTATTTGTTCTTTTGGGCATTTGTTATGATCCCGCTTTCCTCTTCATCAGATAATAGTGTTTAATATGAGGTATATGTTTAAAATTGTAATAACTAGCTAAATCATAATGTTAAGTTTTTGATTCTACGCAATACTTTAGTGAATAATTTAGTCTTTATTTTAGAACCCGTTCGAGTTATCTTTGATGATTGCGTGGAAGCTCTTGAAAAATCGTGCACAAGGTTTGACCATTTTTAAATATGTATGCTTATTTATATTAAGCTACATAATAAGTCGTCTTTACTAGCTAAATTACTAAGAACATTCTCAGTTTTAAGCAATTTGTCTCCAGATATAGCTAATTTTCTCAGAAACTTATGCCTTCAAATGAATTTTTTAAAAGTTAAATTATGATTTATGTTTTTTTGTGCAGAGTTTTTGTGTTATTTCACATAAGTTATTATGAAATATTATTTTTAATTTGTCATTGCAAACTTTTAAAACATATCAAATAAGTTTTTAATATTTAAAGTCGTTGTATGATCGTTTTTTATGAAGATACACCATAAAAAATATTTTAAATAAACTTGATTGCTTTAAATTAAAAATAAAATATAGTAAATACTGAACTTTTGAATATCAAACGCTTTTGTTTTGTAGCAAAAGTGACAATAGAAAGTATTACATAAAATCACGCGATCGTTTGGGTTACACCGAAACAGAATGTCGTAGGGGTGGTGGTCCAAACCTTAAATGTACTGGCATTGGATGGACATTTCTTGGAAACTTAACTTCAAGTTATAGTTCGGTTAGTCTTTATTCCATGTAGATAAATCAGCTTGCAGCATTTATTGCGATAAAAACATTGTTTGAATTTTTGTGATTCTATACCTATTGTTGGATAATTTTTTAACCTTGAGAATTCTACAATAAGCATCACTTATTTTATGGGTTTTTTCAACTGTGATCAGTACGGTAACCAGCCTACACATTATGTTCCTTGTATGTTACTTTCGGACGATTATCATTATTTAAATCTTTAGAAACGTATCGTTTAAAGTAGTTAAGTAAACAAAAAAATTTCATAACAGGAGCAAATCTGCAGGCTGGAACCACAACTGCTTGTAATCCTAATTTGAGGTTCAAAAAACTGTAAGCATTAGTTTATTTTAGAGACTAAAATGTTTCTATGTGCAAAACTCGGGTTTTTTTCTTAATTCTAAGAGCATAAAACGCAACGAAAAATATACATTACTATCACACTATACGCTACTTTTTCTCAAAGATGTCGATTATAGACGCTTTGATATTTATACGTTTATGAAAATTGATTAAGGTTCTTGTTCTTAAATCACATGGAAACTCTGACTTCAAAAACTTTCCAATCTTCATGGAAACTTTATGACAATGTCGCTAAAAACTGATCGTTGCAGCATTTTTTTGTTGTTGCTAGAATTAGTTTTTTCTTCAGGATGTGACCAGTTATGATTCAAGAATTTGGCTATCAAAGGATGGCGACCAAACAAACTTCAATTCCCAATTCTGGAGTGCCAATGTCTCTGAGTTATGCTTGCAGACAAATTATGGCCGAATACAAATTCCAGTTGCAGCACCATCTCCTCGTAGTTTATTTTTTCAAAAAAAAATATTAAATATTTCTCATATTTTTCTGGATTCGTTTGCCTTGCTTTGGTTTTATCAACAACGTCCAAATTTCATACAAGGCTGCTACGAAGTTGGAATTAATGTTGGGGATCCAAATTTCATCCAGGCTCGTGTTGGAATTGTATCTACTCAAGGATCAGGTATGTTTGATAACATTAAGAACCATTTCCTCGTTAAACTTGATTACGAAAACAGCAAGTATATTTCTACAAAATTCTTAAATTAGTTGCTTTATTAATTGTTAGTTCACTAATTTCATCAGTTTTTTCGTTTACCTTGTAATGACAATCAATTTTTTAAAAAGTATGCATGTTAATACTTAATTAAAGAAAGTTTAAAATTTCCAATTGACACATAATGTAAATTTTTATTTTCAACAATGGGGGCTTTTGTTGTAAAATATTAAAATCAAGCGGCTAACTTATGCTTGGGGAATCCGTTAAGTCCTTTTTAATACTTTGCTGGTAAAAGACATTTGCAATTAAATGTAGCATAAATTTAATACAATGAAATAGGTAGGTAGGAAAGGCGAGAACATACTTTAATTTTGTAATGAACTGGCTGATAGCTGATAGCCAACATTATTAGCTAAGGCTGCTTCTTATTTTTAGGATGCAATAATACATCACCACAAGCTATTGGTGTTGGAATAAAACTACCTAACAGAAAATCTGTAAGCATTAATGGTGTGGCGTCAATAGCACCAACCTTGATTTGGCTTCGTTCCTCAACTTCGATTCTATGTTCGCTCACGTCTGATTCAAACTTAACATTTACCTATAAAATGTTACCGAATTACATGTTCTACTAATACCTTGCTAATTTTGTTCTTTATGCACTTAAGTCCCTGTATCATTTCCTTAATATCTTTCATATACTTACCTATATACAATTGAAACATGATAAACATCAATTTATTTTTGAAATACATTTTAATTCTTTTGCATGCACATTATTTTACTAAAGGACTGTTGTGGCCATTGTGTTTAATATTAATCTTTTCCAAAATGGTTTTATTAGTTTGTTAACTTGTACAATTACTTCAATACATAGCTACGTTTGCCGTTTTTTATATAATCAAGGGTTAAGATAAAACACTGAAGCGGAATGCGGATCCGGAATGCGAAAGCGCAACGGAATTAGGTATGAAACGCGGAACGGAATTGGGGATAAAATGCGGAATTGGGAATAAAACGCAGAATTGGAGATGAAACGCAGAATAAAATTAGCGAATATTTTTGAGTTATTTTTCATCCTTTATTCTTCTTGTGAACATTAAACTACTTTGAATTATTAGAAATGAAAACATGTACCATTAAAGTGCTTATCTCACAATTTTTTTCCGAATTTTCGTATTGCTTCTTCAAAAGTAATCTAAAACTTATATTACAATTTTTTCATGAGCTGCATTGTTTTCGAATTATTATTGATCAAATATGAAATTTGACAGTAAAAGTTGATAATTGGCATAGGGCCTGGATCAAGTCTCTGTGACGTAACTTAAGGAATAAGTCAAGGCTGTTATCAACAATTAGATGGCGGAGTTGAATTCTGATTCGGAAAGCTCTCATAGTTTGCAATGTGATTCGGAGTATGATTATATTCCCGGTTATGTCATCGAAGATGAAACAAGGAACATTAATGACCAGGAATATAATATAATAGATGAAAATCACGGCGAGTAAGTCCTATCTATACGCTGATGAACCAATGGCCGAACAAGCATGGTATGAAGACTACGTGGAAAAGTCAAATGAACATAAAAGCAACTTGAAATGCTACAAAAGACTTGATCACACAGTTGAGTTGAGTTCTTGGTGAGTAATAAAATTTCTAATTTCAATTCAACTTATGAAATGTATTTCAATTCAGGCTTCAAGTTATGAAATATAGACATAAACATGCAATTTTCTATTCAAGATTACCATCGCTTTTTTTATTTACTTTTGGGTAAAAAATTGTTAAAAGATGCTCGATTACAATTATTTAATGTGATTTTCTTTATTGTTCAGGTGCAAGTGTGGTTTTTGTCAAGTTACACTTCTTCAGAATCCTCTAGAGGCCTGGTGCTGCCAAGAACTTAAGTCTGTAGCTGAAAGCTTAACACACCAGTCGGTTCTGGCAGATCTGTCAACTATTCCATGTTGTGTCACTCTACACCAAGGTTTCAGACCAGGTTGTTTGGAAAAGTGGTCGCTAAAAATGGCTGCTAGGAAATACAAAACCAGAGGACAAAGACGATACAGAGAAACAGGATCTGAAAACATGTCTGATAGCATATTATGTTCTTTCCCAGTATTTAAGTATATTTTAGTGTTATGACACATTAGTAACGATATGGCTTTATATTCAGGTTTTTACTATGTGTTACATACAGAGAATTCACATCTATGATTTATGGATGCTTAGGAGAAGAAAGAAGACCATTACCAGCATGTGCATACCATGCAATAAGATCAAAATTTAATGATAAAAAGTTGGAATTTAGAGGGTACGAAGAAAATGAAATAAATGAGTGATGTGAAAATTAAGTTTTCCTATTTTTTGGGCAATCTGCCACATGTTTGTGACCTTTCATTGGCTTCTTGCATGTCAAACATTTTGGCTGGAATTGAGGGGGGACATCATTGACCACAATGCATTTTCGGACCTGTTTTAGTAGCACCTCAGATCTGGGTTGCTTTTGCAGCATGACATTCATTGGTGGTGGGGACATTTCTTTCAAAAGATTTTGTGAATTTGATAATGCGTCTTTGTCTTTTGACAGCATCACTCTCAAATAATTCATCCACATACTCTAAAAAGAAATTATTGTCGTATTCAATACTATGAAATGATGCAAAGCAACACATTTAGCAACAACTTACCAAATTTGGGCTTAACTCTGACATCCCTCACAGTTCCTTCACCATTTTTAAACTTTGGATACACCACATTTATTTGGAAAGTGCCATCATTCTTCATCTTTACATCACGCCTTAAGTTGTTGTTGAAGTGGATGGATGCCAAAATGTGTCTATAACAATAAAGACTTGTGGAAGTTGCAAAACAACTAACATTGTCATATTGGAAATTTTCGCCCACCTGCAATACATTCCAACATAGGAATAATGAATCATTTTTGGAGCAAAATGATTTAGGACAGAATGGAATCCTTCCAAACAACTAACTTGAGCAACTGGTGAAGCCTGGTGAATTGACTTCATCAGCTGTGGGTTTAACAATTTAGCACAAAGCTTTTCATGAGCAACTGAACCTTAAACCTTACAACAAAGAATTATGATAAACTGTTAGGGAAGTTATCTTTAAATAATGCCTTCACAAACCTAACAAATATTCCATTGGTTGAATATCAGGGCCATGAAAACAACTTGAAAACAGTGGATCGTCCAAATTGGTGTGCTTGTCTACTATGTGACTCAGGAAAGATTTGAACTTTGCCCTTATTACTTTGCCATCACCATAAAAAACAGCCGAATCGGTGTACATCGTCGGTGTACATTAGTCAGTGTACATCGAGCGCGTTTTCTTGCAACAAAATTCACCCAGATTTTACGTCTTCGCTTCGCTTCAGGACGCTCATCACCGTAAAATGGTATACGGTGAAGAGAAATTCCTTCCGCAGAATTTACTCGGTTTGAACAGCCGAAAACTGCACATCTATCAGGCATTTTGATGTAGAGCCGTAGCAGATAAAGTAGAAATTATAGCAAAAATCACACTTCAGAAAAACTTCCTGTTCTTATGTTACGTCACATACTTCTCGATTCAGGCTCTCATCAAGCAAATTGAACGCGCAACAATTTTCTCCATAATTGCCGATTTTGAGAAAAGAAACGCATTTATCTCATAAACAAAGCCATCAATCAGAAAATTGTAAAATAACTTTTACAATGATTTTTTTATCTCAATCAGAAAATTCGAAAAAAAAAATTGTGAGATAAGCACTTTAATAAAAATTATAAAACTGGAATACAAAATAAGTAATTTAGTATGTGTATATATAAGGCTTCAACCACCAACTCAACTCTGAATTTGACTTTTCACAAGAATAACAACATTGTATTTTCATATGAAAAAAGGTAATTTAAATGATTTCTGTAGCTTTAAAATAGTACTGACATTCTTTTTTCTGAAACAATATTCATGCTTGTCGACATATTTGCTAAGGTAATGAACAGTGATTCAAACTTTGTTGACAGATTTGAAATATCAGTATCTCATTTGATAAAAAGTTATAAAAAAATGATTGGCGTATGCACTTTAAATGAAGATGGTTTTATTGTTTCATGTATCTGTGCAAACGACTGCAAACGATTGCAAAATTGTAAATGGTCTGGTCCAAGAGGTTGTAAAATATTTGTCGGTATTGTCGTAATTTGGGAGATAAAATAGTGTTGTTTCATCCTGACACAATCTAAGTTTGCATGGAAATATACAAGAGCATTGCAATAATTTCTGTGCATTCTGGATGTTGTCGTAAGATCGTGAGGAGGGCTGGCTATATTACCTCATGGCTTTAATGACTGAGAACAACCAAAGCAAACGCGAACTAAGGGCGGGCAGAACTTCAAGAGATTAATGCTATAACCTTTATGATTTGATGATGTGGGATTGACAGTGAAATGTTGTTGAGCCTCTAGAAAAATTGTTCTAAGGTTGATTTAAGACTGAGGTGGTGGTGCAGACGATAAGGTAACTGATTACTGAGGCTTTACTTATGTGTGCGTTACATCATTTTAACGGAATTTAGTGCGGAAGTGTGAATTGGATGGAGAGAAAAGTCGTAATCAAACAATATCTATATCATACTTAACAACTACAAAATATTTTACTCGAACACAAACTCAATTAGAAATAGACATTTACTAATTAAAGCACTCTTTATTAAATCATGCCAATCAGAACTTAAATAATCGACTTAAAGCCAGCATAGAACTGTCACTATTTGATTTCACAGCCACACAATCAATTAATCCTTCCCATCAATTCACACTTCCACACTTCCGTTTAAATGATGCAAAATTGTCTTGTTTCCCTCTCAAATAATGAGTTATACATGAACTTTTATTCGGAGTATGTTTCATATTGTGCATTTAATGCAGACCACAAATTTTTGAAAATAGACATGTTTCGACATCTCATGATGCCATCTTCAGTATAAGTGAGTAATTACATAAATAATACAAAGTTTATATAAATTTATTATGATACAGTAATATAAATATATAAATATGAATAAATCATAACAATAATAATGAAATGAGATAAATCAATGGGGAGCGTGTTACAAACTAAATATTATATTGAATTTAAAAACTTTAAAATTGAGTTCAGGGTTAGTTTTGTTAATATGGAGTGCTTTATTGATTTTAACGGAGAATGAGGTGTCTGCAGTGTCGATGATTTTGAAGAGAGGGCGAATAGTTGTTTTTACATGAATAATATTTGAGGTGTCTGTAGATATTAGAGTTTTGTTCTGTTGTGGAATGTTCCCTGATTCTGGTGGATAATATATCGTGAATTATATCCTGCGCAATTGAATTCATATTATACCAAAATTGATTTAACTGAATCAGGGATCGGGTCTTTGAATGAGAAGAAGTTTTTGATTTTAAATGATGTGAAAATTAGTCGAATGTTAATATCTGTACAGAAGTGTTTCATAATGTGTTCGTAGGTCTGCGCTGTGTGTATCGTGAGTGATGTCCGATGTACGGTAGTTTAAAGTATAGAGTTGTTATTTTGGAATTTTCGTTTGCGTTGGTCGTGATCGTCGTAACAGGAGTTTCATTGTCCAGCTTGAGGTTATTGTTATTTTTGCTGTCAAGATATCGTTTTACGGTTCTTTTAATAAAGTGTAGTGGGAAGAAGTTTCGTAAAAGAATGGATGTAATGCTTTTTATGTCTCGTTGAAAGCCATTGGTCGCATTGTTAAGTTTGTATGCTCTGTCGATTAGTGTGCGTATAAGTCCGGTTTTGTATGAAGGTGATGTGAAACTAAAATAGTTCATCAGAAGTCCTGTGTATGTTGGTTTGTGTTGTGATATGTAGACGTTGTACAGGTGTCATGTTGTTTTGTTAATAAAATGTCAAGAAGTGGTAGTTGATATTGTTGTTCAGTTTCGAATGAAAATCTAATGTTTTCGTGCTGTGTGTTGATGTAATTATAAAATTTCATGACCTCAGGTTGGTTAATAAAAACACAAAAAATATCGTGTCTGAGGTAAATAAAGGTTCATTGTTGTTGTAGTTATTTAAGCAGTTACGTTCATAAACACTCATGAAGATGTTCGGCAGAATGGGTGCCAAGGTTGAACCCATACTGACCCCGTCAATTTAGTCATAATACTATGTTGAGTAGAAAATGAGTCTCAGCCGTAAGTTTCCTTTTTTTATACTAGTTCAGCATTCGTACACCTCACAATTTGCAACATGGTTTATTGATTAAATTTTTAAAAGAGTTTATGTTTGAGGCTAAAGTTTGTAAAGAAATATCGATTTTTTTAATCGCTACCATGGTTGTCAAATCCGGAGGGGCGAAAAAGTTTTCATTTTTGTCAGCCCCCGTCTTTCCGCTAATTTTGAGAAGAAAAATATGCCCTTTTTTGTATGACGGCATCCATGTTTTTGACACAGACCATTTTGCCATGGCACATGGGCCCATACTTGGAAATCAAAATAGGCCCTTTAATTAATCGAACAAAAAATTGAAGGACTTGTTTATTTCCCGCAGTTGTGAAATGAGTAGAAATTATTACAACCAACATTAGGTTCCAGGAATGTGTAAATACATTCAATGATAAGTTGAGTAATTGTTTTGAAAATGGTTGCCTTTATCAGAGTTCATTTTGTTTCAACGGTTAGGTGAGCTGCATTAATTTTATTATTTTGTGTATTTTGTATCTATTAATATTTGAGCTAATTGAACGTTACAATAAAGTCTTAAACTTTTGTGTAATGATGCAAGTCTGTCAAGCAGACCTGAAAAATTGTTGAATTATTTTACGTTATTCTTCAGCTGTTTACAAAACCAAATCTGATAAATCTGTATTTTTGTTGATTTTCATTCTTAATTTGTACAGAAAAAATTTGTTTGTTTTGGATTTTTAGTCCAGCTGTTTTAATAATGAGTAAAACAAAAAGCGGTGTGCAAAAGCGTAAAGATTAAGAGACCTTCAAAGTGCAGCATCTCAACCCAAGCAAAGGAAACGTTTTTGCACCTCTTTCTGGTATTTCTGCTCAATTGGAATTAGTAGATACCAATAAGTCTCGGCCTCAAGCAGAGCGGGTACTTGCTACTGAAGACAACGCCAACACTAAAGTCATAACTGGTAAGAAAACAAAGACTTCGTGAGACAGATGTATATTTTTAAAATGCAAAGGACGATTAGTGCATACAATTCAAATGGCTTACTTATTACTCTGCAGAAAAGAAATTGTGTTGCAAGACTTTTGTGTGTTTCACGCATAGGCGTTCACTTCCATCTCATAGGAATTCACTCTTGGGACCACTTCCAACTCCCTCTTCGCCCTCAAATTTAACTCTAGGTTTAGCCATCAAGTTGACACTTGGGTTCTTGTAACAGCCTTGGATTTCTTTTTTTGAGCTCATCCATCCCATCGTCTCTTGAAACAACAAACCTTTGCCTCTCAGTTAATTCATCAACAGTCAGTTTCCTGAATTCTTCAACATTTTTCGAAGTACTTCTGCAATATCTTGGGTACCCTTTCTTGGGGGCTATTATTTGAGTTCTTATTCATAACTAGAAGAAACGTTTTTGCAAACATATTTACAGAATCATTGGACGAAACTCCAAGAGCATGACCAAATCTGATCATAAAATCACTTGTCACAAGGAGTAAACAAAAATGACAATTGAAGACACATAAATCAGGTCAGATACAATAAAGATGGTAGGAATGTATAAGATTAGATAGAATGTAAAATAGATAATTGTAAGAAAAGACATAACAAGGGTGAATGACCACAATGCTAAACAATCAAAATTGCACATTTCGATGTTTTATGACAGTCTTGCATTCAAGTCAAAATATTCATTTTATCAATAAACAACAATCGACCATAATTAACACTTCTACATAATCAATACTGTGCTGCACTTTGAATATTTCTTTAAGCATTTGAAACGGCCTTATTTATGTCCACTAGGGTTGCTGTTGAATCCAAGTACTGAAGTTGTGCACGCATATTGTGCATACTTTTATCTTACAGTTTGTACTTGGTCTCCATGTTGCTTTTAGAATTTCAAAAGCTCCTTTTAACAAGCCACTATTTAAGAACCTTTCCCAGTTAAGTTTTTTCTGAAGACGGTGTTTTTGTGATGGGCTGTTTTGGAGGAACAGCAACGACTCTTTGTTGGGCAGAATTATTGGTGTCTGTATCAACATTTTCTTCGTTAGTGGCCATCATGACTGTGTTAACCAATTTGGTTGGACAATCAGCCTTTCTGCTGCCATCTTTCTGAATCTTCTGCTGCACCTGACTGATTAAACAAAAAGTGGTAAATGTCTATAATTGAAAAAAGCCCTTGAGTGATGAAATGCATTAACTGCTATTGCTTCAGGGGCAGCACTATATGACATGTAAGGCTTCATTCCGTAATTTATCCGTGAAGATTTTACACGCACTGAGATATGAGACGAGTCAAATCTCTTTTAAACTGCGTATGGACGAGAGATTCTCGCCACTATAGCAGTTAACATTCCCTGTGGGCTTTATAGCTCAACAGGTAGAGCGGAGGACTAGTATCCCGAAGGTACGAGTTCAAATCTCGTCCAAGTCACATGTTTTTCATGTGCATATTAAACCATGTTAGGATTAATATATTATAAATATTCTCTGATGATGGCTTTGGAATATAGTTCTTATGAGATTAATTAAATTTGAGAAGGACTCTTTCCCAATTGATAAAGAGTGATCTGCACTGTGGTACCATAAGTCTAATGTGCATTTTTTAGACCATGGATTGATATCTTAAGCCCAAGGTACACAGTTAGTAGTTCTATGTAGTTTATATGCTTTGTACTTTCTTCCAGGGTCCAAAGCCCTCCATTTGTATTATTGTTTGAGGCAACCACAGTCCTTCTTTGAAGCATCAGTTGACAAACTGATATGTGGTTAAGGTCTGAATGTTAGATTTTTGTTTTTGTCAACATTAGTTATCCACAACCGAAGCTCTAATTTGGAATTAGTTGATATTCTTCATATGAGTATAAAAATTGCTAAGATCTAGAGCCTTCTAACTTTCTGTGACACGAAAATGTACGAGTCCATACAACGCCACTGGGAATGTTGATATGATGAGACCAATAACCTAGGCTACCTCTCTAAATAAGAGAGTTTTGCATGCACTAAGCCACGTGATAACTGCATTGAGCTTTTTAGCCTTTTCTGAAGTCATGGAGACAGTTCTGTTTGCAGAATTCAATATGAATCCCAAAAAATACAAAATATTTTTGTTGGTATAAACATAGATGTCTTAGGATGGGACACAAAGTTCAGAATGTCCAGCATTTGAAGAGTGACTATAACATTCTTACATATATGCCAGAAGCACGTAAATTATTGTGCTTTGTCTTGATGTCAAGTTTATTTCATATTTCAGTATTGACATTAGGGACTACAAATTTTGCAATTTCCCGCATGGTAATATTTTTTCATTCTTTTCCTTTTGCTTCAAATCGGGAAGTTTTGCGGACCATCTCTTATTTATTATGTCATCAAGTTGCTTATTGATATTGCCTTCAATTTTCTTTTCTTGTTCAAGATCGCTGGAACTTTTTGTTAGAAGAGCATCATTCAAGAGCTTTTAAGCAATCCTTCTGCATCGCTTTCTTCACCGTCTCCTAGTTCCTCTGTTTTTTATTCTCCACATCGCTTTTTAACTACTTTGTTCTCAGAATGACCAGATGTGCTCATTGGTCTTAAAAAGTTTACTTGTTTCCTCCAAGTTCAACACTACAGTTAAAATTGTCGCTAATGTTTCCTAAGCCAGATAATACTTAACGTATTGTTTCTTCTGATGGTTCTTCATTTTTCATTCTATTATCTCGACGTCCATTAGCGTGCTTTGAAACTCGTCATCTGGAGACATGATTATCAAATTATATTTACTGCTAAATTACGCTGCACGAATTTTCCTCTCGAAGACTACCCAGGCATCTGATTCCTCCATCTCCACGTCACCCACAAACCTACACAAAAACTCAAATCATGTTTCACCGAACATAAAGACAAAACAACAATACATGATACAACTGACGCGATCTACATGATACCATGTAAAGACTGCTCAAAACAATACATAGGACAAACATCAAAGAAAATCGAAACAAGACGCATAGAACACAAAAACGCCATAAAACGACGAGATCCGAACTCACTACCGGCAGAACATACCCACGGAAACAGCCACATATTCGACTGGACAGAAACTAAAGTACTTCGCTAAACAATGTGAATTCAATTTTTGAAAGTTTTAGCTGGTCATCCAGAAACTTTTGAATCCGCTCTCTAGAGTGAAAATTTTCGTATCCGCCAACAATTTGGATGCGTGTGGACGGTAAATTCGGATATTTTTGACCAAGATTACCTCGCAACTATTATAGCGCGTTTAAAATATCGTCGAATTTGCTTCAGATCGATTCCAATGGACTTTCTACATAGCATTAGATTTTTGAATTCTAGTGTGACTTTCAGTAAGAGTTCAACCTCGTCATCAGTCCAAATTAAGAAGTCCGTCTTGCTTTTGTAAATTTTTTTCGACTTCTGTCCCAATTATGACATACATATTCAAACAAAACCGAACAACGTTTTCACACACCGACCGAATTCAAAATTGTTAACCAATTTACCGCCAATTTGCGACAATTTCAAAAAATGCGAGGGAAACGGACAGCTCGAAGTCTTGGGAACGATAATAAATCCGGATAATATCGAGCTACGTGTGGAAGCAAAAACATTTTTATACGCAACCTGATCCGCAATAAAAAAGGTTGCGGATACGAAAATATCCGTATACTTGTGGACGGGGCCTTACACAAATCATTAAACGTTATTGTACGGAAATTGAAATTAAACTCATTCTTACAACTTTTAAAATAAAATCCCTTTTCTGCTTTAAAGATCCACTTCCTGAACTCTCCAAATCTATGGTAGTTTACCAGTTCTCATGTGCGGGATATAATTCTTGTTATATTCGTTAATTATCTACAGGATAAAAGAACACACACACAAAGACAAAAACTCCACCATCTATAAACATCTTCATGCCTCCCCTTCTTGTAAAAATAAATGTCGATTATCTTAAGTATCTGTTGTTAAAGTGATTTTTTAAAATATATATGTAATAATTCATCAATGTGTTAAGACACAAACAAAAAAAGATGGTTTTTAAAGGTTCAAGTTTATTTTGACAAAAATTAATTACAAGGAAAAGTGTTCAGCGTTGATTTATGTAAGCTCATTGCCACTCAAGTGAAACATGCTCACTAACAAAATACTCAGTAAAGTGGATGATGTACAGAAATTGCTTCAGCGGTCGAATTTCTGCCTGCCAGCCTTACAGCACTTTCCAGCTCTGCATTGGATTGCCTTCTCCAGAATCCATTGCACAGATGCCCATCCGGAGCTATGGAATCTGCAAATCCTGAAGGTGTATAAGATGGATCACCAACAGTTCGTAACATGTTGTGCAAAACACATATTGCTTTAACTAACAATGCTGCCTTTTCTGGTCCAGCAATTATTGTTCTAAACAATAACCGCCATCGCTGAGCAAGGATGCCTAAAATTTATCAATGGAGTACACTATAATTTTATTTTTTAAGTAAATTCATTCAATCGTATAAAAATAACTGTGATTTGTGATACCTACCAAATGAATTTTCAATAACCCTGAGTGCACGAGACAATCGATAATTGAAAATCCGTTTAGCATTGCAATCACGTTGCTTGCCAGGATATGGTCATAACAAGTTAGGATTTAGTGGAAATGCTTCATCTTCAACTAAAACAAATGGCATGGGGTTCCCAGTTTCATGAGATAGACAGACCGGTGCTGGAAGATTTATCTGTCCTAGAAAAGATGAAAACATGTTAATATTTTATGCAAGCTTGCCAGTGCAAGATTGGTGTGCCAATGTCGGGATTTGCTTGCCCAACACAGAAAAATGCTCTCGCTGTTTTCTTTTAAAAGTATTTATTTTTACTTTCGCTTTAAATAGTTACAAAGTGATATCAACAGCTCTAACATGCTGTGCCCCTTTCTTCGTCTTCTCTTGTTGTTCTTAACTCTACCGGTACGAACTGGCTATTTCCGAATTTTGGTCTCGCGCGACCCACGCGTTAACTGAACTGTTTATACTTTCCGACACCAATAAATTAGAATGAATTTCCAATTTTACTAGAACCATTCATCTTGATTTAATAACACAAATCTTAGGTTAGCAAAATGATATTATTTGAAGTTTGTCTCTTCTTATTATTCAAAGAAACATAACGTAAAAGCACAATACTTGGAATGACATACCTAATACAAAAGCTTTTCCAAATTCTGAAGCTTCAAATGTGCCACCATCACTTCGATTACCAGCTTGACCGATATCTACCAAGGTGAATTTGTAGTTTGCATCACAAACAGCTAAGAGAAC